CTCTCTGTTTTTCCAGATCACCTGAGACCAGCGCCTTTCAACCACCACTCCTCCACCTTCGACCACCACTTCCTCCAACCTCAGTTTCCTTTTCTCTCTCGTTTCCGCTGGCGCAGCAAAGGCAGAGCTTGTGCCTATTCCGCTCGGCACAGTCTTCCTGCAGGCTTTCCTCTCTTCGATTCTCCGGCCCAAGATCAACCAAAGCACCGGGCCGATTTGACCTTCCTAATGACGCTATAGCTTTGTCGGCCACAGTCCTCGTCAGTTCCATCCAGGTTTCGCACCAACAAGTATCGGTTTTTTGAGCATTCGAGCTATTTTCGGTATTTTTAAACCGGAAATATTCAATTTTCCACACATCTATAGCTAGGTAAATTGATTTTTGAACCCTGTGTTTCAGTATTATTTTTCATTTGAATTTCTTTGCATTATGTTTAAGAATGAGTGTAGCATGTTAGTGACTGCAATTATTATTGCTAATACTTAGGCTTTTGCAGAAATTTATATATTATTCTAGCTTACTGTTTAGCTGAATGTGACTTAGGAATTCGATTTTTTTGCTTTGAAATTGGTTATATAAAGTGATTCCTATATCGAAGGGTTACATTATTACATTTTATTATAAATCCTTTGTTGAAGAATTAAGCATTCTTTAGGTTGAAGATAGCTAGTTAGCTATATGTTCAAGCCCTTGTTATCCTATGAAGGAATTATTATTGTTTCCATTTTGAATGAGTTATAAACTGGAATTTTTTAAGAAATGCTGCAAAACCAATGCGACGATATATCTATGAGTCATTAAATAGAAACTTTTGAAGTCCTTGAGCGGCAACAATTTATTGACGTTGATTTTCTTGGAATTGTTAGTGTTTTGGCCGATTGGTATGTGAAAGTCGGTTTAAAACCAGCGTCTTGATGCGGTATAAGTTAAGTTTAGGAAACTATATTATTTTTGATGGCAGCAGCTATTTCAAATACTTCGTACCATTTTATATTAATCGCATGGGAAACAGATATATGTTATGTATTGATATATTTAAATACTCTTGTCGGTTACGCTTGGATTAAACCAATTGTGCTTGCTTAAATTAAACAATTCAAATATTAAAAACGCTTAGCTATATTCTAGAAGTTTGTATTTTTCATGTTCAAAGACAGGGAAAAAAATTGATGGGCCTTAATTATATGTTTAAGTGTGAGTTGCGCGTTACTTAAGATGCATCAGTTTAGTTGGACTAATATAGAGTTTTAATAACAATTAAATATTGTGTTTATACCTACCATTGAACAAGATGATGGTTAATATGTTTTTGGAACAGTGAAGGTTATTTTTAATTTGCGAGTTATGGTTGAATGGTGATATTTGCTATTAATGGAGGATGGAAATCGACTTGGTTGATTTGCCCCGACGGATGGGCTGTGTGCATGATTGATAAATTATAATATAATTATTGTGATATCTTGAGCTAGGTTAGATAGTTCAATTTTTAGGGGAGGTGCTGCCGAAAATTCGATTAGAACTATAGACTAGTTTTTAAGTACATTAAGATATTAATAAGTTTTATTTTAGGATTATTCTATAACTTAATAAATATTAAACATAGACGTGCTCTAATTAATTTTATTATCTTCTATTATTCATTTAATTATTTACATATTTATTTATTTTCATTTTATTGTTATTTATTTGCTATTATTTTATTATGTTGTTTCTTGTTAATACTATTTATTTATTTGCATTGTTTTGGCATGTTTAATTTGAGCATTGCATTACGATGTCTAAATTGATCCTAATTGTCTCATTTGATTGCCAATGTTGATTAATTGTGTTGTGATATTGTTGTGCTTTGTTTGTGGGAATTGGGATGAAGTGGTTTCACCATGGGTTTGTGAGGACGGTCGATTAGCATGGATCCTTGATTATGATTAAATTATGAAACTGGACCGTCGGGCCGGGTAAATGGGAGATCGGCGGCCCCCGTGTGCACCTACCGTTGTGATCTATTATGATATGTAAAACCACAGGTTGGCTTCTTATGGGCGACCTGATAATCTAGATTTGATCGCAGGCCCGCAGGGTGGCCTTCCTGTTTTGTTGAGCGCCTGATGATTCTTAGATTGATGATGACGACCGGGTTAGCCCACCTGTGGTATTGGAAAAGGAAAGAGGAAACTGGAAAAACAATGAGAGGGGCGCCTGGTCAAGTGAGGCATTTTAGACCGGTCGGGCCAAGAATGGGGATCGGCTCCCCTTGTTTGCACACGTGAGAGGATGGGCCATGTGGTAGAGGACGGCTCATCGGGGGTTTCGGTGACGCCGCAGACCAATTTCACGTGATGTGATTATATGAAGATGTTTATGATTGTGAGTTGCTGGTGACTATGCATTTTGAGTGACTGGTCTGCTGTGAGCATATAAAACTAGTCGGTATGACTATGGATTTGATATGTTTACACATTTTGGTTGTGACTGCGTGTGTTGTGCAATAATTATTACTCCTTAGAAAACTCACTTTGTCTTGTTGAATTTTTCAGGAAAGGTTAAGTTTCTCTTTTAACTGGTTTAAGCTATATTTTCCTTCGCCACAGGCTATAAGCAAGTTTTCCTGTTCCTTAATTATTTTACTATGTAATTATATGTATAAAAAGCTATGTATACAAAATAGTTAAGTGACTCCGCAGTTGTAGGAATTTGGTTACAATTAGTCGTGTATTAACATAGACGATTTATAAATTATGTGAGCCCATATTAGATGTGATGTATTGTTAATTAGGGCCGAACTGATCTGGATTTTGTAGAAGATAAATTTGAGCCGAGATGTTAATAAATCTTGAGGTTTATTTATTTTAGTAATATGGGCTGAATAGTTGAAATTATATTGGAATTAGTAAATTTTAGTGTTTCGGCTTACTACGGGCCTCGGGAGCCTTAAGCCTTACCTGGGCCCTAGTTGCCGGTTCCGCGTCCATGGGAAACGGGTGGTGACAAAATTATATTAATATATTATTTATACTTTAATACATGTAATTTAAGATTAACCACTTTATAAAAAGAAACAATATTTGTTTTGATCTTCAAAAGATCCAAATTGTTGTGACAGATTATTAGATTTTGAGCGTTATAGATGCACGGTAGCATGCACTATTCAGTGGCGGCAGCCAAAATTTTTTTCTAGATGGCTAAAATATATTTATCATTTCACGACGAATAAAAAATAAAACTTGATTTAAAAAATCTTAAAAGTAGTGTAATTACATAACAAAATTATTTACACGGGTTCAAATATTTAATGAAAATAGTATAAATGATGAAAAATAAGAGATTTTTTTTTTAGTATGATGCCTTTCAATAGAAAAGAAATAATTTTCTAAAATTTAATTAGGAAAAATAACAATAAAAATAAACTATTAATATTTTAAAAATTTTTAAAAAATATATTATTATAATTTAAAATTCAATTAATTCAATTTCATTATTATTTTCTAAAAAACTATTAAAATAGAATATGTGGCAATTTATAATTATTAATTTGTTTTCTTTTAATAAATTAAATATCATGTGACTAATCAATTAATTTTAGAATTCAAAATTTTTTTGAGTTAATTAGAATTAAATATAAATTTATAACACTATGATTATTTTTAATATTAACAGTGAATTTATATATTCATAGAATGAATATTAAATTTCAAAACTAAAATTTAAAAGAGGATATAAAATTAAAATTAATGATATAAGTCTTTTTAAGGCAACAATTTATAACACTATTGTATATTTTAATATTAACGTGAATTTTATATATTCATAGAATGAAATTAAATTCAAAACTAAAATTTAAAAGAGGATATAAAATTAAAATTAATGATATAAGTCATTTAAAGGCAACAAAAAATAATTTATGAAAATTGTAGAATCTTATGTGCTTATTTATATTTATATATTTAAATTAAATCTATATATAAGAACTAATAAAAATAACTAAACTAAAAAAGGTAAAATTAAACTAAAAAAACAAGATACCCAGACAATTGAAGAAAACAACAAGAATCTTACCACTGCAGTAGGGAGAGGTCCCTCCTAGAACCCTCCTGGCTCTGTCATTGGCTCGATTTAATGGCGATTATAACTATTGTTCGAGTATATAAATTTTTAATATGTCTGATTTGATAATCTTCAAATTTTTTCTTTATATTTGAGAATAAATCACATCTTATTTGATATTACTAAGCAAATAACAAAATAACAAGATTATGAAAAACCAGAGCTACTGTGAAGGAAGCAAGAAAATCCTCAAAGAGGGAAAATGAAACTCAATCCATCAAAACGAGTAGACATTTGAGGAATTGTATTTTGTTAAACTATGAAAAAGTGCAAAATATATGTATAATAGATTATATCAATATGCTTGGATTATATATTTTGTATTTAATTAATCTACAAAATACATATACGTATTGCTTAATAAATATAATTTACTAATCGATCAACAAAGTGCCTATAAAAGATTATATTTTGCTAAATATTTTATAATATTTAAGAGTATAAATATTATTTTTAATAGAAATTCAATTTTTTACTATCCTCTAAGATGGTAAAGAACTTTTCTGTGTGAATAGGAAAGTAGATAAGAAACCTATAGAATTTTCTTGGAAATGCACCTTTTATATCAACTAAACGTTAGAAATTTACTTTTCTATAAGACTTTAGTAACCCATTTATTGTAACTATAGGGCGAAATACATCTGGAATCTCCAAAATACTATATTATCTCGATAATCTTTAGTACTAATATCTTTGTTGCATATGACTGGTTACTTTTGGAATTTTACTTCCCTTAAGAAATTTTTAAATTTGTCTAAATTACAATAAATTATTAAGTAAATTGACTATATTATCCTTTAATTTAATACTAATTCTCTAAAAAAATTATTAAATTGAAATAATAATTATTAGTTATATGCAAAGAGTAAACATGAAAAAAAAAATTTATTACTCTTCAAAATCACAAATGTGATAAATATTTTGAAATTAACTATCTTTTTCAGATGTGATAAGTAGTAAGAAAGTAAGGTAGTAATATTTAATCTTCCTTGCATGCAAGAAACCTAACCAAAGGCTGAGTAATCAGCAATGAGGCGGACCCAATTATAACATATCTTCTTCCTCGTACGTACTTTCATTTTCCTGTGGTTCTACTTTTCCTTACACCCAAATATACGTACACGGTACATCGCCATCATTAAGCACTGGAAATTAGTCCAACGATAAGTCGCCATGATCAAGCACTAGAAATTAAGTCACAGCTCGTGCGTTTATATGCCAATTAATTGAAAGGATTTTTGAGTACCACGAATCAGACATTGCCACTTAAATATTTTGTCCACTTCATTAATAAGCTTCATGTTGAGGTGAGAACGCACTTACGCCAACCCAATTCAATGAAGTTGTTTGATGCAAAAACACAAAAGGAAAACTTAATTAATAAAAAAGTTACACGAAAAAACCCCATGTCCTATACATCAAATTAATTACAAAATAAATTTTATTATAATCCGGAGGAAAAACCATAAAAAAAAATTATAAATTAATTTGATATATAAGACCATACATACACCAAATATAAAAAAGTCTTATCTAAAGCTATAATAATTTTTTTCATATAATATTTTATGAAAATATTTTTCTAAAATTAACCAAACCAATAAAAAGAAACTTTTAAAAATTATTTCCATTTTATTTTTTTTTCTCCTGTATAGTAATAAATACACTCATTTCAATAATATTTAACTATTAAATAGAAACCGGACAAACTCTTAGAGGAGCGCAAAGTGGCTATTCCATTGCAGTAAAAGGTTAACTGGACCCTGAAAGTGAAAATCCCGAGTAAATCAATGACTACTATTTCTAGAAAGTTACTTAAATTATTAACATATATAAATACACAATACAAAATTTACTTTAAAGAACTGGTCTGGAACTATTATTATACTGGAGAGAGTATGAAGTCGACATGACTAATTTTAGCTATAGATGATAATACAAATGCCACATTTATTCAGCTTGCAAAAAGCAAGAGAACTAATAGTAATTAGAAACACTGGTGCTTACCTTGAAGCTATCAAAAAGAATACTAATTTGGTTGAGGAAATGGAAATGAGAAGATCGGTTTGGTATCAGGATCATATAATACTGCAACTAAAGCGATAAAAACCCACACCATGAGAATGCCAATCACAGCAGTTCTCAACAAGTGGTCCCAGTTTTCATTCATGGGAACATCAGTCTCAAAAGGCAGATGTAGTGATCGCAGATCCACTCCATCACTAACACTTTCAGTTGACTGTATCCTCCGGATCTCATTCATCACCTGTGGCTGTTGAGCATGAATGCTGATGTTGGAGCATGTCTTACAACTGCAATTGCCACCAAGGTAAGATGGAAGTATCTGAAGGTACTCGGAAATAACCCTGTCGTACGCATTTCCTTCGATTCTCAGCTTCTTCCAAGTTAAAGGTTTCAGAACCTGTACAGAACCACAGAATATACATAACATAGGCATAGATTGACTAAAAACCCAGAAGAAGATATAAAAAAAGAACCCAGAATTCATTTGCACAATAACTACAAATATAAAAATATTTAAAAAGTTTTAAGAGTTGGAACAGGAAGACAAATTAACCAATATCCTAGCGAGGATAGTATACTTACTTGAATAAAAGTTTGAGCAATGACTCGAACAACTGGAGGAAGGCGTATAACAAGCAAATAGCCAAGACGATTTGGGAAATTATCTTGCAGGAGAGAAGAACAAGATCTCAGCATCTGCATAGGAAGTCTTAATGGTGATATACCATAGCAATCCACAAGAACTGTAATCTGAGGATTATCCTTGCCAACCAAATGGAGGACTCCATGCTCTACCTGAGAGACTAGAGCATTAATCATTAATTGGTATTACCATATCACGAAGTGACAGGAACAAAAGAAATTATTACAAACAACCTCTCTGAACTCCTCCTCACTTCAAATTCCTCTTTCCAGCGTGAACTGAATTATATTTTTAGGACAACAGGTTTACAAGAGATACTTAAAACAATTATTTTTGTTGAGATTAATGTTTACTATATGTGAATGTGAGCATCCCTGACTAATGTTACAACCCAAATGCTCCTAGCAATATAGGGAGTAATTGACTTGAAGACATCTGTCATACATGTTTTAAAGGAGGCAAGGGTGCTGATATTTCTATATATTTGATTTAGAGCCTGATATTCTTCCATTGGAAGCATCTTATATAGTACAAAATCCAAATGACCAACAATTATCAAGAGATAAAAACAACTCACTGACTGCTTGAGCAAAGCGAGGTCTCTCATGGAATGGCAAATTGACGCAAGCTAGTCCAAGGCGAACAATAAGGCACGGTCTCTGCTCCACATCAAATCCATGCCAGAAGAGCAAATTTGACCATATCTCAAGTTCTTGTTCTGAAAGAATTCTGTAGGTCTCTCTCCAACGGATTGTCTTCTTAATCGATGATAGCAAGCAAGAAAAGTCCCCATTTGCCGCAGTAAAAAATCCATGGAGTTCATCTTCATTAATTCTGCATAAATATCTATGTCATGGTCAGCTGCAACATGAGATGTCAAAAAATTTAACAGTAGATGTGCCAAGTTTAATACCATAAAAGAGTTTGGGAACACTCCAGGGTTGTTATGTACATGAGATATTTGGGGGAAGAAATCAACAAATCGGAGGAAGCAAATGATGCCACAAGCATTCTCAATCATTAGTCAATATCAAACTTATCTTATGGATCAAACTAAGGTTGGATGAGAGGAAGCAGATTATGACTGATCTTTGTTAGAATCCATCAATATTAGGATTAGGGGACTCCTAAGCATGCATTGGAACATGAATGGAAAGAAAAATGGATGGAAATGTGAAAAGTCTTCATTCAACCCACTTACTTTGAATAGTTATAGGTTTAATAAAGTGTATAGAATAATGAGCTGATTAGTCAAAGTATTAACAATATCAAATACACTTAGAAATGATGAATATATATAGAAACGATACTGCAATATTCTTTTAATTTGTGCCAATATTCTCAAAACATGAAAATTGAATAGAAAAATCACCTTTCTGGTAATGTAATGCCTTCATTTTCTAGCTTTTCGAGGAGTTGCATCAACCAATTTTCAGATTCAACACTTTGAGGATTCCCATCACTGCTCCTGCAGATCAGATGAAAGTGATGGGTTACTTAATAAGGAGATAGAACACATGATTTGACTAGATCAATTCCAAAATACCTCAAAAATCGACTTCAAGGGGTCAGTAAAATTCTAAAGACAAATGATCTTAAACAGCATTCACAATTAACCAGCTAATAAAATCCCCAAATTGGTGTTGTCAATATGTCTTCCATTCAATATTTGAAAGAGAAAGTAATGGATCTTGTTCTTAAGCTTCAACTAGTCAAGAAGGCAGGATTGTTGGGAAATCCAGCGAGCCAGTGTGTCAAATAGACAACCCTAATTAATGCCTGTCAAGTCCAGGAAAGTTCCTGACAAGCTTCATGAGCATATGCAGCCCAAAGATATCAATTGACACAGATCAAAACCAAATTAGTCTGGTTTAAGCATCAACTCCCTCTTCATCTATAGCCAAACCACAGAAATATCCATTCACCATCATTATACCAATCAAATTAGGAGTTCTTTCAAGAAGAAAGTTTCCAAAATGACCAGTATTTGGTTTCAAAGGGACCAATACTGACTACTGATCACAAAATTCCAGGGCCAGAAAAGCTAGCATACTCATTTGTCAAGAAAATTGTTAATATACTTCTTTGATTAACCTACCCATCCCAAAAGAAGGGGGAAAAATGAGTTGTGAAGTTCTAACATCAATTAAATGAAATTATCATAATCTCAGTTCTGTTGTTCTGGTTGTTAAGCTAGCAGATGTTTACATATGTAGGAGCCTTAAACAAAACTTGAGAGAAAATTTTTTTCCCTTAACCAACGGTTTTTCTTTTCCTGGGTGTGAATTAAAGCATGAATCAAACAACAAGAACAGGCCAAAAGTGAAAACTTTATTATTTATATACCTTGCATCAGAAGAAGAATTTACAAGGGATGACTCGGAATGTGTTTCTGAGTTATCCAGAGAACCAATGGTATTGCTTGGGCTTTCACTATGACATTCTGATTGTTCAGAGAATGCTGTTGCAATTGAAAGGAATAACAAAGGCCTCGAGAACATCTATAACAACAAGGGGAGAGTAACTTGAGTTATTTCCCAGAAAAAATATTTACAAAAAACAATTCAATTACGAAAGCAATAGCATACCTGCACGCCTTTGACCAATCCATTCAAGGGAGCCCATTTCTGAATCCACTTAAATGGTGGATAGCAAAGAATTTGCAGAACCTGAAGTCCACGCCATAAAGAGGGACACTTAGACCTAGAAACCCTTCGGACCGTCTCTAAGGCAGCAACTTTGAGTAAAAAAATAGCTGCATGACTAACTGCACCACCGCTATTCCTACTACGACTCAATGATGCTATGTGTTTATAAGCACTCTGTGGGATAGCTGTAAGATTAGAAGCTCCCAAGTTTCTTTTATAAACCTTTTTCCTAACAGCAACAGTTGTCAGTTCAGAATTCCCACTTGAATTAGGACAATGGGGTGGATCTCCCATTGAAATTTATTGGAAACTGAGCTCTAAAATCTCATACCCAACTAAAATAGCGTCTTCCCCATGCAATATTTAACTAGCAGCATATTTTTGACATTTTACCAACTGCAAGTGTAAATAGCAAGAGTAAGATCAGCATTTATATTTTTCAAATATTAAACAAATTTAAAGACAAAAAAATAAATTGCTATTTACCGAGATCATTTTCCTATAGAGATCATAAGTTTTCTCAGTAATGAAATATCCTTGTATTCAAATTGCTAAATATTTAAATTTATCATCAACTTTATATTAACAGAAAGAAAAAAAAAATCTCAAAATCAGAAAAACATAAAACGAAACTCACCGGAAAAGCTACAGGCTGATATTATCGATCTCCGATGGATCCAGATTTAGAGAAATGAAGAGAAAATGAGTTTAAAAGAGCTGAAATTAGCGAATCCAAGCGGGTTTGATTTATTAGGGAAGAGGAATCGGTGCTTTTTGTTGGATCTTTTTGACGATTTGGTCGGTCTTTTATAGGGAAATCGAACAAAATACCTTTTTGGTCTTGTTGTTTTTGCCTTGTGTAAAGTTACATCACAATCAAAGGGGAAACTGGAAACAGGAAACGCCAGCATTCTGGAAGTGAAGGGAGCGGGTCCGCTTGGACACGTGTACGGTTGTCAATATGCAGAGGCATTATCTACTATGGTCAATAAGAGTAGAAATATCGAGAAGAATGCTAACATAGTCAATATGCAGAGGCATTATCTGCTGTGTCCGTAGATTCACAATTTACATGTTTCTCATCTTCTTTGATTCATGTGGAGTGATGAGAAAAACGTATTATCATTTTCTTTTATTGTACTTGATAATAAATTTTTTTGAAATTTTTTTATTTAAAATCGCTCTCTTTATCTATATTTTGCTTTTGCTTTTGCTTTTTTTTTTTTTTTTTTTTTTTTTTTTGCTTTTGCTTTTGCTTTTTTTTTTTTTTTTTTTTTTTTTTTTTTTTTTTTTACCAAGAGACGTGAAGATAGAAGGATTATAATTCAAAAAATCTAAGAGGTAAAAGAGTGAAAATCTTTTCAAAAGATTTTTTTTTTTTTTTTTTTTTTTTTTACCAGAGACGGAGAAGAAGGATTAAAATTCCAAAAAATCTAAGAGGTAAAGAGTGAAAATCTTTCAGAGAAATTTCCAAGCGTTTTCGTGGAGGAAACGTTTTCCAAATGCAAAATATAAAATTTTCGTGCAACGTAGCTTAATCATACAACTGATCAATTGAGAAAAATGCATAACCTCATTCTCGAAAATTCGCAGATTCCTCGCTTTCCAACCCACCATATACGAACTAAAAACTAATAATTCTGAAAAAAAAATCAAACGGATTAGTCGTAATAGCATGCAAGTAGAAAAAAAGTCACAAGAAACATCATCCACGATAAAGAAATCGGAAATCAGCTAGAACTCTCCGTTGCAACCACCAAGACTGAATATGGGGGCAATCACACAACAAACGCAACAAAGATTCGTTGCGAGCATTACAAAAGCTACAACTACCGGCAACGGAAAATCTACTGAACTCTAACTACATTAGGCTCTAATGATGAAATTTAATTTGAATACCACAAATTCATTTGCTCCAACACGGCGTCGCATCATGTTTTGTTTTTTGAACCATTGTCAACCATTGGACTTCATCTGTGGTAATTCTTTTCTCATCTCTTTCTTTATTTTATTTAGATTTTCTATTTAATAAATATAAATATTTTTGGATCTGTTAATTTTTTTAATCCTTCGATGAGATTCAATAGTTCAGAATATTGGTGGATATTCAAGCCAATTCTTTATTTTGATATTTCTTGATAATATGTTTTTATATTTTTAGAGCTATATAAGATATATTTTTTATCCATTAAAAGGCTCAATAAGTCGAAATAATACTACGGATTACACATATTGATAATTCTCCCATTGGCACACAAAATTAATAAAAATTATTATAGTCGAGAGAATTCAAACTCGAGACTTCTTACTCTTTTTATGGGTGAGAAGATGGATCAGACTACTTTTAATCGACTAAAATATATATATTTTTTTAAATATGCATTAATTTCCTTTAAATTTTTTCTAGTATATTAATCTCCTTTAAATAGGAGGATTACGAATCGTTAAAAAAAAAATTATTTCCTCATATCCATGTTTATGTTTGAAAACCTCTAAATTGCCCCTCCATTGTTTCTCCCATTTTTTTTTTTACCTCTTCCTAACTAATTTTTTTTTTACCTCTTCCGAACTAATTTATGCATTTGTGAATATTTAATTAAGAGATAAATAACAACTTTAACTCACAAATGCCCCATTCTTTGGTTAATTTGTAATCGATTTATATGTTATTTTATTATTAGTATAAATTTTTAAAAGAAATACTATATTATACTATAATATTAATAATGATTCAGATCCTTACCAGAAAATGAGTAACAGCTGACCATATGAGTTACTCAAAACATGCATTAAGGCCACGTGTGAGTCAAATCTTGCCCACGTGTAACTCTATACTCGTTCCTCCAATTTAAGCTCTCTCTCTCACGTACACAAAACACCACAGATAAAAAAAGAAAAGAAAAGGCAGGCAGGAAACTGAAAAACTCAAAAATCTGAAACCAACTCCCATTTCCTTTTCTAAAATGGCTTCCAATACTAATATCAACCCAGCATTTGCTTACACGGTTGTGTACGTGAAAGACGTAGCCAAATCCGTAGATTTCTACGCCAGAGCATTTGGTTATCATGTCCGCCGCTTAGACAACTCCCACAGATGGGCAGAGCTCGATAGTGGAGAGACCACCATAGCTTTCACTCCGGTCCACCAACATGAGACCGATGATCGAAGTGGTGAAGTCCAGACTCCACGGAATGGCCATGAGCGACCCCCGCTTGAAGTTTGTTTTGCTTATGCAGATGTAGATGCCGCGTACAAGGTATAGGGTATAACAAAAACGATTTCTTGTGATTGATCATACAAAAATCATGGACTAATCTTGTTATTTTGTTCTCCATTTATGATTGATGGGATAAACAGAGGGCAGTGGAGAATGGTGCGGTGCCGGTGAGCCAGCCGGAGGAGAAAGAATGGGGACAGAAAGTGGGGTACGTCCGTGATATTGATGGAATTGTAGTGACGATGGGAAGCTATGTCAATGGTGCCAAACCTGCAAAGCAAGAATGAATAATTACATGTTGTGAGATATATATATAGATATAGTAGATAAGAATAAGATACATGTTATATCACTCTACAAAAATAAGAATTGATTTTGTGTTTGAAATTTTGAATGTCTTTTTAACGAGGGTTTCTCTCAATTTGTGAAACTATCCAAATATTGAAAAAGTTGCAGTCGCTATATATATGTTTATACTCTTTTTTTTTTTTTTTTTTTTTTTTTTTTTTTTTTTTTTTTTTTTTTTTTTTTTTTTTTTTTTTTTTTTTTTTTTTTTTTTTTTTTTTTTTTTTTTTTTTTTTTTTTTTTTTTTTTTTTTTTTTGTCTTTAAGAGCGCCACAACAATAATAAAATCTGAAGCCCCCTTTCTTCTTTCTATGGTCAAGGAATTTCCTTTTCCTTGTTTAGGTTCCTGCCTGCAAATTTTTGAGAGAGGGTCAAAGTTTGTATGGAGGAAAAGTAGAACAAATTATGATTTTCCACAAATTTATAATAAGGAAAATATTTTTTTTTTTTTTTTTTTTTTTTTTTTTTTTTTTTTTTTTTTTTTTTTTTTTGTCTTTAAGAGCGCCACAACAATAATAAAATCTGAAGCCCTTTCTTCTTTTCTATGTCAAGCTTTCTTTTCCTTGTTTAGGTTCCGCTGCAATTTTGAGAGAGGGGTCAAGTTTGTATGGAGGAAAGTAGAACAAATTTAATTTTTCCACAATTTATAATAAGGAAATACTTATCTACATCCTATGGATCTTCATCTCATAACCTACCTGATAATATTTTTGACTATTGGAGGAAAAAGAAAAAAAAAAAGGAAAACATTAATAATATTTCAAAAACGTATAAAAATATTCTTTATGTATTGGTTGTGTGTGGGTGTGTGTGACTATTACATTCATATAACATCGGATAGGAGAAAACCATAATTAATTAAAAATTATGACAATGTAAAATACTTTTTCGAAATTTAAGAAAAGAAGATTGGATTTAATTGTCACAGGCGACCCTTTATTTCAAAGCCCGCGTTTGCGCGGCTAAATTAGACATTAGACACTGCGAATTAGGCGTTCTGTTTATCACATTTCAAATATCCTAATATACAAATTCATGCATGTATCATGCATTTGAATTTTTAAGTTTTAATTTTAATAATATTTCGCTTAAAACATTAATTAAATATATAATTAGTTTAGCTACTTAAATAATAATTTTCATTTATTTTTTAATTATTTAATAAATATTTAATCGATATAATTTTTACTTTGATTTGTGAAAAATCAAAGTGTTTAATAAACCAACGTATCTCAAATAAATCAAGAGAACAGAATGTCCACGAGTAAAAATGCGAAAACTTTGAATCTCTCAATTGAGCCACCCAGTCGCCAAAAATCAACTTCCGACCAAGCCAATACACGAAAACCATATCCAGAAAAAAACAAATGTTGAACAAAATTTTTAAGCTACCTAAACACAATGACATGAAAACACTTGAAGATGGAACACTAACCAAAATGTAAAAGTACACAACTGTTCTTTGAGATATAACAATGACCCAGCAAAGAAAAACATAAATGAAGAGACACAAGTCAGAATCTCAACTGTGTTCTACAAGTATAACAAATTACCCCCCACAAAACCCCACCATAATAAATTAAGACATTTCTTGGTACATGCAGACAGAGGAGAAACATTCGGAAGAAAGATCATAACATTTCTTGTGATCTTCTCACGCAGCGGCTCACTTTTTTCTTGAATTCGTCTCTCCTGTCTCTCCATTCCTTCTGCATAAGACATTGAAACCTTAGGTTAAAGACAAATGTAGGAGAACAAAGCTCTTTTCTAGATGATGCTTAGGAAGGAAATAGGTTCTCTTTTGCCTAAACCATTCACCAATCCCCTTCCCAACAATGATTCTAAGTAAGAAAACAATCCAATGACAGCAACAATCTACTACTTAGGAAAGTAAACAGCTCAGTAATGTGATGAACAGCAAAAGTCCACAAACAGTTGTCACACGATTTGATTTTACAGTCTGTTATGACATCTCAATATACATTGAAGTTATAAAAACGTGAAAATATCACAAAAAAAAAAAAAAATTGGATTCTTTGTAAACCGAATCAAAATTGAAAATCCTATTTGAAGAATTGCATTCCATTCCGGATTCCAAAGAAAATCAAACATGGCCTTGGTGAACACAGGTCAACAATATTCTGATGTCAACTATTTGTCAGGACCAACATGTTGCATGATCCATTTAAATTTCAACATTAGTTTATTTTATTGGCTTTACTCTTTTGTTATCAGGAAACATTATTAAAACCAAGAAATTGTATAGCACAAGTTTCTTCTGATACGAAACATAATTAACATAATTCAATCAAAAAGACCATAGTGTCAACAACACTGCCACATCAGAAACCAAGAAGGAAAGGTAATGGTCTTTTTTTTGTTTAAGAGGAAAATAAAATAAATGAAGATTTATTAACTTTGTATTCTTTGGTTTGAAGGTATTGGGATGTAGGACTAAATATAAAGAATATTTTAAATTGTAATTTTAGATGATATAACATAGATGATATATCATAGATGATATGGAAGGGGCCAGTTTGGGGTTTTTAAAAAAATATAAAATAGATGATATGGAAAAATAGAATTTTTGATCCTCCCCAATGCCCCAATTTGGTGGATTGAAAATAAACAGTTTTGGAAGGTTTTCAAGCCCTCAAATAACCATAAAACACCCTCCCATCACTCAAATCATCTTCCCAAACAACACAAAAACTTAACCTTGCTCTCCAAAAACTCCCATTAGAACAAAGGGTAAGGCTTAGTGGAACACAAATTATAACCTAATCTGATGCACATAATGAACAATTTGTTTTTAGTAATATTGCAGGTCAGCTTAGCACACATAATGCAGAAAATAGCAAGCCTGTGAAAAGGAGTTCAAATTTGACCAAATATAATCTATAAACTTCCACAAGAATTGTATATCAGAGAATATGCATTCAGGATATGTAAGGCGTTAAAAGTCAGAAAAATGGCAACTGCTCAGCTACCAATTACAAACTTTGTTCAACCAAAAATAATATCATATTCAGCAACTTTGTGCATGATCCATCAATTAGCCCATTGCCCGCATCCCTAATTAGTTAATTTGACATGTATGCATGTAAACATTCCATGCGAAAGAAATAACAAAGGTATAAAACCTTCATAAGAGATAGTTCAAATATAGCGATAGAATGCCAATTAACACTTACTGCAGCTTCAACATTTGCTGGAGATTCGTCGTTGGGACTGGAAAGCATTGATATGATACTCAAAACTATGCTCTCAACCTGTCAAAAAAATATATCTGCATCTGTAAAAATAGGTCATAGCTAAAAGGTGGAAAGAAATATCATGCTTAACAAATATGATAATATGACTCAACTAAGAAATACCCATTGGTGTTGTTGTATCACCTCATTCTAATAGCATACAATTACATGTGCTGGTTCTCATTACATTGCCAACAACAACCTTGGAGATTGTTTTATTACATTTCCAAATAAAATTTAAAGGACAACAATAAAGAAATAAGGAAACATAAAATAGGAGGTAAAATCAATGCATCACATGGTATGGCTTACATCAATGGGATCCAAGACATTGACGGATACATTTATTATTTGTTTCACTTGTAATTACCACACTCATATTTTTTCACTACCTAATTGATTTCTTGACATGAAATATTGGTGATAAGTTCCATAGTAACCAGTTGAAACATTTGGGCAATTTGAAACATAAATCATAAAATAGGAGTTAGTAAAATTCAAAAGCCCCCGATAAAGGCAATTAATATTCCATGTGAAGAACATTTTGGATTTCAAAAACAGCTAGATGATAGGAAATCCATCTTCTGGAATACTAGTGACTTTCACAAACCAGATATATTTTGCAAGGATAGAAAAGGATACATAGTCATCAACAGTGAAGTTACCATAACACCCCCATTGAGGAACCTATAAAAGGATTCAGCTTTAAAAGACATGAGAAGCCCTAAATATATCAAACAGCAAGCAGCTCCTACAAACATAAAATTATTCCATAGATAGAATGCTTGCATGTTCCAACCAACTATGCTTTTTCCAAAAAGCCTTTCTTTTATAATCGAGAAAGTTGCTTTTCAGTCAATAGCACCACGCTTCAGAATTCTAAAACCCTATTTCCGGTGAGATAAGCCTAATAAAGCCTGCCTAAAGATACAAAATTAAAATTCGAAGGCTAATAAGACTCTCCTATTGACACAATTGATGCTGCATTCTTCTACCTGTTTTGTGTTTTTCCTTTCAGTATTGAGTTTGAACATGGCCAGCCATGTAATTGCAACTAAGATGAGATAATTTTCACTCAGCATTCCTCACTGCATAAGGGCTTCCATTTCTTTTCCTTCTCCCCTCTATTGAGCAAGAGCAATGTGTTTTCTTTTCTTTTTTTTTTTTTTCCTTTTGTGCAATCCATATGCTGCACTGCCACTACATCTCCCTGTTTGCTTATTCTCTTTATTTTTTTTTTTCAAGTTATTGAGTTTGAACATGGCCAGCCATGTATTGCAAACAAGATGAGATAATTTTTCACTCGAGCATTCCCCTCACTGCAAATAAGGGCTTTCCCATTTTCTTTTCCTTCTCCCTCTATTGGAGCAAGAGCAAATGTGGTTTTCTTTTCTTTTTTTTTTTTTTCCCTTATTTGCATCCATATGCTGCAACGCACTACAATCTCCCGTTTTGCTTATTCTGCTTTATTTTTTTTTTTTTTTTTCTTTTTTTTTTTTTTTTCCTTTTGTGCAATCCATATGCTGCACTGCCACTACATCTCCCTGTTTGCTTATTCTCTTTATTTTTTTTTTTCTTTTTTGATGTTTAACAATGATATCTCATCATATACATAATTTTAGTGTCCAATTTATTATATTCATTTGACGAATATCTCATTAACGGATCATGTAATTTTATGCTTCGCTATATTTTATCATAGGAATGATTCTTAATTATTATAAAAAATGTGTATCACTACAGTGACAATCTACTGACATTATGGTTCAAAACTTAACAAATTAAGAATTTCAATTCGAACTTGACAGAGTTGTTTATGTTAAATATCATTTTGTTTTTTTGTTCAGCAAAATTGATTTAGGATTTGAATGACATAAAAACAGAATTTATTTGTCATATAGCTTGCGTCGAACATTTAACACATAAGAATTGTTTATAAAAGTTTTGTATCCAAGACTGAATATTTTAATATTAGTTCACAAAGCAATAATTGTTTCTAATAAATAATGAAGTTATCAAATTCTTCTACTCAATAAGGACTTCTTTAGACATCCCACTAGGAAGATTTACAGATAAATTATATGGGAGTTTAGGAAAAAAAAATATATTGCGGAAGGTTCGAATTGAGATTCTTAAATTGTTCAAGGCTCAAATTCTAACATTTTGGATATTAGGATCTTAGTTGAAATTAAAGTTGCTACAGGGCTCCCCTTCCCTAAACAACCCACCCCCCAACCCTCACAACAAATATTTATATGCATCGTAGACAAAGAGGACTAGATTTTATTTAATATTTTATGCTATGATTGTTTTAAATGATAATAGGTGACAGATTTAGTTGATTTTCAGAATTCTATCAAACTTAAAAAATAGACCTCTGTTCTAAAAAGCAAATTCAGGATTTCATTTCCTTGATTCAGATCACTATTTGACAAGTATGATTGGACTCAGTTGAAAACTTTCAGTTTCTAAATGCATGTTTCAATTTCCAAAGAGACAAAGTAATTATGACATACAGTATGCACAGGCATCCAGCGCTCACTTGCAAGCTCGTAACCATTTGGATCATCACCCGGTGGATGAAGAATTGATATGCAAACACGCCCATCAGGATAAACTGCAATTCCAGCAGCAACTAAAATCAAACCTTGCCAATTCAGAATGAGAAGAGCAAATTCAAATTACAATGGGCAGAAAATTGACCAACCATTCGGATGCCATATCTCTGAAGTAAACTTCACTGTTGGAGGACTATTGGGATAATTGGAAGGAAAACTCATAATGGCATTAAAGAATCCCCCTTCACTGCCATCAAAATAATTGTAAGGGATAACATGATAACAAACAAACATCAATCCAGTCAATGACTCCACACTAAGCTTGATAAATGCTGTGATAAATCACATAAAATTTGAATGATAACAATAATGATGATGATGATGATGATGATGAAAGAAGGGGAACAAGGGAAAAAATTTACATTTTCAATTTGCTAGCTCAAGGAGCTAAAGAAAATAAGTACTAAAAATCAGCTAATTATCAAAGCAACAAAACCAATATTAAGGTCCAGTAATCAACTTTCAAAACCAGAAAGCAAGAAAATAGTTAAGCTAAAACAACAAAAAGCTATAAAAATGGAAGCTTTTACTACAATCAGTGATTTAGCTTGGAAGCTGACAAAACGACATTGAAAACTGAATTGGAACTTAAAAAGCTTTAGTTAATTGAAATATCTCAAAAAACTCCACAAATACTTTATCTTCCCACGACCGGAACTTAAAAGATTAAGATCAGGCTAAAACACTCAACTGAGCACACACGAAAGTAAAGCCACCAACTCGCAACAAAAACCCAGTTCAATTAATTAAATTTCATAACCCAAACCTCCAATAAAAATCAATAATTCCACCCTTCTCCCTCCCCCAATCTGATCAAATCAAACACAATCAAATACCAAAGACCCTATAAATCAAATCAATAACCCATCAAAAAAGGAACAATTAAACCCAATCAAATTGCAAAAAAACAAACAGAACATACTAAAGGGTATCAGGCGGTCCAATAATCGTAACGCTCCATTCAAAGATATTATTCTCATCAACCAAACCCGCAGAAAACCCATCCACCGGGTTTTTACAAAGATCTGCAGCCAACCAAAACCACCCGATCCAATCAATTCAACTAAAACCAAATCCAACAAAAATTTACAAAACAAACAGATAAAGATCGTTAGATATTTACCTTTAAGCTGTTTTTGAAGGAGGAGGCTGGCTTGAGATGCCATATGTGAAGGGAGCCTTTCGATAGAGAAAGATAGTTCTAGAGAGAAACGAAACAAAAGAGAAAAACTTCACAGTTCGTGGGCATTTATAGATAGATGGATAGGGAAAAAGAAGGTTCTGAATTTGGACTCTCCTTCTTGTGATGCGAGCTCATTGCATTGGTAATGGTTATAGTTGTGTGATTGTTTGGACTTAGGCACATGGGCTAGTCTTGATTCAGTACGGACTATGTAATTGTGCAGTCGGGTCATCCATTCAATTGTAAGTTGACACGTATATTGCTTTCTGTTTTAACGGATTTTTAAAAGTAAGTTGGGTGTTTTATTAAAATTGAAAATTAAATATTACAACTAAGAATTGGATTTTTAAAAATTGTTATTAAATGATAAAAGTCCTAAAATATGTGGATTTTTAAAGTCATTTAAAGAGTTCAATTATGACAGCATAATGTCTCTTTCAATAGTGTAGAATGGACCTTTTTTTTTCATAGAAAAGGGTGATTACAATTGGCTTAATACGAAACACATAAATCTAATTATAAATTGTGTTTTTTTTTATTCATTGCTTATTAACAAAAAAAAAACCCTTATAATCTTTCTTTTTTATCAAAAAGTGCACGAAATTCATTATCAACCTACTTGATTCTCTTTTGAATACGAGTTTTCTCTAGCTTCATTCGAAGAGCCGAAAAGAAATATTAAATTTATGGTATTTTCATTTGTCGAAGAGTCTTGTCCATTTCACATATGTTTTTTATTCATTGCTTATTACCAAAAAAAAAATATCAATCTTTCTTTTTTATTAAAAAGTGCGTGAAATTCGTTATCAACCTACTTGATTCTCTTTTAAATACGAGTTTTCTCTAGCCTCTTCAAAGAACCAAAAAGAAACACTGAATACATGGTATTGTCATTTGTCGAAGAGTCTTGTCCATTTCTCATATGTTTTTTTTTTCTTTTACAAATCATTTTGAACGGATTTCTAAAAAAGAGTTAGATACGATGTGAAAATTAATTTCAGATTATGAAAAAGTTTCAAGACAAAAAGTGAATTTAAGAAATCATAGATTTTATTCAGCAAAATGTTAGAGTTGGAGTACAAGAAATATAAAAGTAAGAATGGGAGTTAGGGGAGTAATCATCACAACCAATACCTAGGTTTACCGGTGATAATTGGAAGGAGGAAGAAGAAGTAAACAGTCAACAACTTGATTGATATATTTGCCCAAAAACTGAAGAGTTCGAAAGTGAAAACCCTCTCAAAAGCAAGTAAAGAAATCGTATTAAAATTTATAATTCAGATAATTCTATCTTATGTTTTGAGCTGCTTCTTACTTCCTAAAAGAGATTTGATATCAATTTGAAGCTCTTATTGCTGGGTTTTGGTGTGAGCAAAAAAAGAAGGGAGAGGGATATCCATTTGAATTTGGTGCAATATTTGCAAATTTTCAGACAAGCAAAGTTTTTATAAAGCAATATTTGGCTGCTAATCGAGAAATTGATGCAATCTAGGTGGTTAATTAAGAAGGGGTCTCATTGATTAGTAGGTAATATGAACAAAATCACAAACTGAAAGATAAATGGTTGTCTAATGAAGACGATTCTCAAATTTATATTCCTTCTATTTAGCTAGAAGAAAATTCCATAGTAATTAAACTAATTGACCATATAAGTGCTTGTTACACCGGAGCATTCATTCTTTATTTATGTCTTTTGAATTTCAATAGATTCGTGAAATTTCATGTAAAACGACACATATATCATTAAGCTCTATGACCTAAATTTGCAGATAGATAAATAGTCCTTCTTAAGTTTAGAATTTTAAATTTTTGATGATGCTATGGAACCAAAAATTGCCTCACAAGGTTAAACATTTCATAGTCATGGCCTATAATAATTTGTTATCAATAAAACTGACTGAAAGAGAAGAGATATTGAAATTTAATCCAAAATAGAAAAATGTGGTGAACATGAGGAAACAATAATGCGTGCTTATTTTTATTGCCCCTCATCTCAATTGGTGTGGCTATAAAGTCCTCTACGCTTTAATTTGGATGGCTCTTATGTTTTGTTTAATGAATATTAAAAAGAAGTACAGGTTATCTACGGATTATGGTTCAGTTGGTAATGCAGGTTGGACATCTGGAAAGAACTTTTGGCTTTAGTTATCACTAAACGCACTTACAGAGAGGGGCGAGAAGCTTAACTATGAACAAACTTTTATTGAATTAGATGATCCCTGATAATAAAATCCGGATAACTTGATTTAAAAATAAATAAATAAAGTGCAAGTTTGTTTACAGCTGATCGAATAACTCTCATTTTCACAATAAGATAGTCAAGTTAGAGAGCTTGAAACATAATAGTTCTATTCATTTTGTCTTTATATTAATAATTGCAAATTAAATTTTGATTTGAAGGTGGATTGTGTATAAAGTTCATAAAATTTATGCACGTAAATAATAAGGCTTTGTTTGTTTCTATAAATAACTTACAGGAAAATATTTTTTATTATTTGGAACAATAAAAGAAAATAAGTCAAGGAAAATAAGTTATTGGTCAATGAAAAATAAGTTAGCAATTAAGTAAAATGACTTACCTTTGTTTAGGAAAACATTTTTCTAACTTATTCCATAATCCCAAATTAGTTTTTTTGGTCCACAAAACACTCCATCTTGAAAAGATGCAATTGTGGGCCCGCAGTCTCTTTGAAGGTGTCAAAAATGTGCCGAGTGGCTTTGTTTTTGAAAGAAATGTTTAAAATAATTTTTTAATATGTCCATACCATTTAAAATATATTTTACATGACACTTTTTGCAACATGATTATTTTAAAATAATCATTAAATTATTTTAACAAAATAGTTTTTAAAATATGTTAAAGCTCATACATTTAAAATATATATTTTAGCAATATATTTTAAAGTAATTATACTACTTATATATTGTTAAATTATCTTAACATGATATGCACTATATTGTTAAAAAATTTAATTAAAAAAATTAAATCACATTATTAGACTGCCAGATTAATCCATTATTAATTAGTATTTATACTATGAGAATCATTTTTAATAGAAAATATAATTATTTAAGATTTTTTTTAATATAGATTAGCTTATGAATAATGTAATAGATGTAAAAGCATTATTTATATGATCGAAAAATTAAATTTTTTTAAATAATTATATCAAAATATTGAAATATTTCTTCAAAAATGTTTTTATATAAAGGCCAACGTCGAAAATTATGTGTTTTCCTGCAATATTTTCATGTAAGATTTTTTTCTATAAGTTTTAATTATTAAATTTATCTTTAATATAGATTACTTATGAATAATGTAATAGATGTAAAAGCATTATTTATATGATGAAAAATTAAATTTTTTAATATTATATCAAATATTGAAAAATATTTTTCAAAAATGTTTTATATAAAGCCAAACGTCGAAAAATAATGTGTTTTCCTGCAAAATATTTTTCATGTAAAATATTTTTCTATAAGTTATTTTCCAGCAAGTTATTTTCCGAAAACAAAGGAAGCTTAAAATTGAAAAAAATAAAATAAAATTTTGTAAACTTATAAAAATAAATTTCATACCACAAATTTGTGCTTGCATGACGGAATTTACCTTTCTTTTTCTGTTTCCTTAAAGAGCAAGCGCTTGTGGGAAATGTGAAAATTTTATCTAGATCATATCCACGGTCCTACATATGGATCAATACAGTGAAAATTAAAAATTTTTATTAAAATAAGAGTATTTTTTTGCCGTACATTTAGAAAAAAAAAAACGATAAATTGAAACACTTTTTAGAAAATCTTTAGTTTCATTTATTTGGTCCTATGTGTGGGCCATGAACTCGATTTAAGCAAGTTTTTTTTCTAAAAATACCGAAATAGGAGAAGAATGAAATTACAAAATTGCCCTTACCACTAGCAACAATTTGGCCAATTTGATAGAATTTTCCAAATTGAATATTCAAAATTTATATAAAAAAAAAGCCTTGAGAAAGCAAATTTGAGTAATGATGTTTCCACTGTTAAGATCAATCCCCAGATTCTTAACTTCATATCCCTCGTGTGTTATTGTCAGACAATGGAGTTTGCAAGATGATTATTCATTAGTCTTTGTTTCCTTATGTATATATTTGGAAATTTTATTTGGAGTCTTTATTTTGGAAAAATAGTTTTATATTTAGAAAAATATTTTTGTAAAGCCTATTAAATAAATTTGATTATGTATTTTTGGTGATTATACTTGTCACCTCCTACACTCCTACACTTTGTGAGAGATCCATCGTGACTCATAATAACATATTCTCAACGACGACAAAAGAAGAAACCATTGAAAGGAAAATGAAAAATAGGCTTTTCATTCAATTAAACGAGGTTAGAATTGTCATTTCAAGGCATTTGCCATGTTGGTATGTAACGCGAATTAAATGTCTGTCCAACTAAATTTCCAGCTAAGCAAAAGTGGGTCCCACTCAGTCATATTATATTTTCCGATTATCCACTTTATCATGAGATATCCAAATGAAAAAAAATAAATAAATAAAAGTTCAGACATTCATTTGACAACATATTTCGTTAAGACATCAAAATAGAAAAAAAATTTAAGTTCAGACACCAAAAATATACTTAACCCTTATTAAGGATGTTTGATTTAATTGATTAACATAATTATTACTCCTTCCCTTCAATAAAAATAAATTTATTTCTATTGTACAAAAGTTAAAAAAACAAATAATATTATTTGATAATAAACTTTATTCTAATATATCCTTATATAAATTATATTGATCAGATATCATTTTCAATAAATAATTAAATGAAAAAAGTAATTAATAATAAGACATATAGTAAATAAGGATACATTAGAGAACTATTAATCAAAAAGGTAATTATAGTCCTAAAAAGAAGGTAATTTGCAATTTGGGATGAATAAAAAAAGAAAGTAAATCTATATTTCTAAGTGTTTGGTAAAATTATTACTTAGTTGTTGTTAATGTATCTAATTATCACAATAGAGATAATCAATACTTAATTCCAACTTTCAAAATAAATTACGGTTTGATTCCTCAATAAATTAACTATTCTAAGTTAATTGTTTCTACTTAGTATTAGGGGTAAGCACTTGATTAATCTAGTTGAATTAAACCGAACTACCTCAATTTTAGTCTAACTAATCAGTTGGGTTTGGATTTAGTTCGATTCTTTTAAATCAAATTAGTTATTTTGGGTGTAAAAATAAATTCAATTAATATTTAATAACTAAATCAGAATCGAAAATTAAATATTTTTTCTGACCAAATCGACTAATAACCGAATTTCTAAAATAGGTGAATAAACCAGAACAAATGAATCTGTTAATTAAATTTCAATTAATAATAACATATTGCACCCCTATTCTGTATTTTAGATTCACATATTAAATCCCGTTGATTTACTTTTATATCCTTTATATGCCAACATAAGAAATAACATATTTGAACTCATCAAATTTAAAGCAATTTCATCATGTAATGCTTTCATTTAAACTGTGGTTGCTGTTTCATCACCCTCGTCAATTGGAATATCATCAGGAATTGCTAAACATATATCAAGATGCCAGATATAGAATGTGATTTCTAAAATTTTTATTCAATAGGTTTCTTTTGTAATTTCTCATAATTATACTATATGCTCATATTCATATATAGATGTAGCTAGGATAATTATTTTAGGAGAGCTACACAAAATTTTTTAAGCTTTCAGAGGATCAAATATAATTTTTTTTTATGTTTTTAATGATTAAAATGTAATTTTTAATAATTTTTTTAAATGGAACCCTTACTAGCCTATGTCAAATACCTACTGAAATTTAGGATCCAAAGGACCAAGAGATTTGTATTTCACTTTAGCCTACTGAAAGATGCACGAGGTTATTCTTTAGAAGGCCTTTTTCTTTGTATTCATTTTTTACTAGAGTTAATTAAAGGCCCAAGCCCACATAAGCTTGAAAGGCCGAAGAGATCTTAAACTGACATCAGTTGGGCCTAGCCCTAATATAACGCTTCAGTCAGCCACTTGTTTTGACACTCAAAAGGCATATAAATTGTTGTAATTTACCTTGGTCGGAAAATTTTCATCATTTTTGTACATTTTACAATTTTATCCAAATATATATTTGAATATTAGGGGACGTGATTCGAATCTAGATTTATTATTAAGTTTTACATTCACTTATCATTAAATTATGTTTTGATATATTTATCTGAATATTTTTTGCCTATTTAATAATGCTTAAATTTAATTCTATCTTATAAAAAAAATAATTACGATTAGGACATAGTTAGTATGAAAATTTGTTAGAACAATAATTTTAACCATTCAAGAATTTAAGTTGACCAAATTTAAATAAAATAACTCCATTAAATGAAATGATAAAATTTAGAGGGAAAAGGGCGATAGGAGAAAGGGCAAAAATGGCAATAAATGCATAGGATACCCTAAGATTAAAGGACACGTTCACGTGATAAGCACAGTAAAAAAGATGTGGAATTTTCGAGAAAATAAGGGAAAAAGTTGAAAAAGATAAAAAAGAGCGAATGGTCCTTTTCAAAATGCATGGTTTTACACACACATGGCCTCTTCCAAACATGCACTGCCTGCCACCGTCAGATATCACGCCGCTCCACAGATCTTTGTCATCTTCTCTATTTGGCGCATTGCGCACCTCGGCTTCGTCTCTTCTACTTTTGTGTTTTTCTATTTTATAAAACAAATATATAAAATTTCACATTATAATTTATAATGCTAACTTTAATTAAGCATTTAATTAAAAAATAATAAACATAATTAAGGACATTATTAGTTAATAAACATAATAATAAATATGCATAACTTAATAATAAGTCTATATATGACCAAGATCCTGAGTTTTCAATATTTAAAAAATATATATAATAACAAGCACTAACCTCTTGTTTTGACAATATATATGATTTAAAAATATTCTAATTTTTTTAACTTAAAATAAGCAGTTAATTGTTTTTAAGTATTTTATTAATAAGTAACTAAAATTTACTTAATTTTTTAAAGTTAACAATACAAATATGATATTACATTTAATCAAATCAAATAATTGACATTTTATTTTAATAATTTATTCGACATTTTATTTATGATTTTGATTTATTTCAAATAAAAAGAAATATCTCTAATATAGCTTAATTTCATATTTAGATCAATTTAATTTTTTTTTTTGAATTTTAAAATTCACTTGAATGAAGTATATCTTGTGCTTTGTTTGGGAAGAGGGGAAGTAAAATAAGGGATAGAAGTAAAATAGAATGGAAAATATTCATTTTCCTCCGAAAATGGAGTGAAAATAATGTTAAATAGATGTAAAATAATATTTTACATCCTTCTGAAATTTTACCTCAATCCAAATAAGGAATTTTAATAATTTTAAGAAATTTTAGCTCTTTATTTTACATTCACCCAAACTTTACACCCATCCAAAGGAAGGCTTGGATCTATAATATGAACAGTTTCAAAATTTTAGAATTTATTTAATTCAACATTTACATATATTTTAATGAACTAATTCATAATTAATTGATTAATTAATTAAAATATAAAAATTGTATTATTCTAATATTATTTGTATATTCATAAAATAAGTAAATACAAGAAGAAGCCTTAATTAATTCAAGTACTTTAATAATTAATTAAAGAGAACCCCACACATACATCACATTGATAACCATTTTTCAATCCGATTCTCCACATCTCTCTCACGTACAGACAGAGACCACCACCACTTTCCTTTATTAGTTTTTGTTCTCTAATGGCAGAATATAACTTTAAGCTCACGCGGCGAAGAACATTCATGCATAAGAGACGGACTATCATGAGCATAGGTGAACGTCGCAGGGCAAGCATGCTTGAAGAATTCTGAATAACTCGATGCTCTGCAAGTTTGTGGATTGTTATAATGATTCCGGCAACAAAGCTCGTCGGTTCCGAACGCCAAGCATCCACTTTTACAGGCCACCACCGGACCATGACCCACCGGATACCTCACCTGAAGCTTTTGAGGGCATGTTGTCAGTAAGTTTGCTCGACAACCCACCACCGGACAAACACCTTTGCCTTCATGTGGAGTTATGGTCATCGGAAGGTTAAATCCGTCGACGAGAGAGACGCCGTAAGAGGAGAAGTCGTTATGGCCATGGTGAAGGCTGAACTGAGCGAGAGTTGCTGGAGGGGCACCACCGAGGCCGTTGCATTCTAGTTGGTGGTTGCAATCACCGGTGGCGCAGTGGAACTTGCCGTTGGTGTGAGTGCATCCGGTTCTAGCCCAGATCCGGCCAGTCCAGTGCTGGTTAGGGACGGGAAAAGAGCGGTGTGTTAGGGTGGAGAGTGGGAAGCCACCTTTTTCGAGGACCGGGTGGCCAGCGTTGGGTTGGATGGCAGGGTAAACGGTGAAAGGGCAGTTGTTGACTAGGGTTAAAATAAGAGGCGCAGCTTGACCAAAGGAGAAGAGGATAAAGAGAGCGGTGGAAATGGTAGAGAAGAGTACAGTAGCAGTAGCCATTTTTTAGGTTAATCGAGGCGAGAAAAGCTTGAGAAATGAAGAGCTGTGCAGCTTGCTCTTTATAAGCAATGAAAACGATGGTAACTGGTAAGAAAGAAGGTATTGCCTCGTGTTTTCAATGTGCCCTTTGCATTTTGAGGTGGAAATACTAAGATGCCCTTTTCATTAATTCTTTAATTACCCTTTGTTCTAACTAAGTACACTTGTTAAGACCAATCTTATTATGAAAAGAAAGCATTGCATTAGCTAACAGATAAGAGAGATGATGGTATGTATTTTCTTGTAATTTCATTTTTTTTAAAATAGTCTTGTGACTTCACATTTGAACCTTAACGTGACAGAAATTAAAAAACAGTTCATTTTGCTAATTTAGCCCTTGGAATTCTTTTTTTTTTTTTTCTTCTTCTCCATCACGTTTTGTAGGGGTAATGTTGTCCATTCATTTCTTTAAATATGAAGTATACTACTTACTACGAACTGCGAGTGGTTAGAAAATTAGGATTCAAAAACCAGGTATGGAATTTGAGTCCTAGGCGCTGTAGTTTTCACTAGGCGCGAAAGTATGAATCGAAAAAAATTTTAAAATTTTTTTAAAAAATATTTAAAAATTAAATTATTTGATATATTAATAAAATATTAATACATAATTGATTTTTCTATATCCAATTGATAAGTGTACTAATAGATAAAATTGAGAAAAATATAATTTTTTTAAAACGAGGATTTTTTTTGTCACATATTTAAAAGTTAACAGTGACTAGGTAGCCGAGGCACATAGGTCCATATAAATTAATTTTGTTTGGAGATTTTAGGTACTGGTCTCATAAATTATATTTCTAAACTTATACAGATTAAATGCTGAAAAGCGGTGGTGGTTGGTTTTTGAAATAGCCACTATACTAGGGAAGGATTAAAGTGTACGTATTTGCCAAGGAAGCAGATTTTGCGGGTACTTCAAATACAATTTGTTTATGTAATTACTGAAAATGGTCAGCTAATGATAATTATCTTATCTATTCACACAAACTAGGGAAGGATTAAAGTGTCACTCGCTGTTTATTATACTATCCTATGCTGTTTTGAGTTTCAAAATTAGCGAATGAAGAAGACTTAATTAATTACTTTAACGGTAATTAGATTAGAGTGTGGATGGCGACAAAAACAGTTGGTAAAGAGGATAAGCACAAACTCTTAATACGAGGTTGCTGTCGGTCTGTAAAGAAGACCAAAATCGAAAACCTTTACATATGTTGAACAATATTTGAATTCTTTATTTGTGGTTTCGTTTTCAAAAAGCTTCTTTGTCAGCGATGCCACGTATTATATATCTTTATCTTTCCATGGTGTGATTTTAGGCCTGCGTCTATTCATCGCCACCTCAACCGGATTAGTGCCGTAATGATCTTGAGAAAAACTTTTGAAACTGAAATCAATTTTTTTTTTTTTTAGAAAATGACAGCTGTAAATTTTAATATAAGAAGTGAAGATACTCCTAAAATACTAAAAAAAAATCACAGAACTTTCGGAGAACAGACAATCATCGGAAATGTATATGGACGAAGAGAGTTTAAATCCTTAAAAAATGATAAACAGCTTATATAAAAAAAAAGATAACACAATTTCGAAAACAGAAAAAAAAAAAAAAGATTATACAACTTATCACTTTAGCTAAAAAAAAAAAAAAAAAAATAAGAAAGTGAAGAATACTCCTAAAATACTAAATAAAAAATCAAGAAACTTTCGGAGAACAGACAATCATCGGAAATGTATATGGACGAAGAGAGTTTAAATCCTTTAAAAACATGATTAAACAGCTTATATAAAAAAAAAAGATTTAAACACAATTTCGAAAACAGAAAAAAAAAAAAGATTAATACAACTTAAATCATTTTAGCTAAAAAAAAAAAAAAAAAAAAAAAAAAAAAAAAAGGAATTGGTATATTCCAAATAAATTTACACCCTTACGTCTCACTTCAACTCGAGTTCGGCTGTTTGGGTCAAGCCCACTTCACATTGTTAGTCCTTTTTACCTGGGCTACGTCAAACACTGGGCTCTTCTGAAATGTCCCATCGCGAGTCGAGGCCCAAATCATGGTCCACATGGCCAATATTTTTAAACATTTTGTTTAATCCTAGCCGTTCAACTCTTTAGATCCATTTGGAATTTATATTTGAGAAATATTGGAGGAAAACTCCCTCATTAACAATAATTAATTTAAAATTATTTTTAGTTTAAATGTGAAACAACTCGAATTTTTATTTTCAAAGATTTTCCAATTAAATTTAATAAACCGACAGCTTGGAAATTTATTTTAATATTTTAATGTGAACTGTATTTTTAATGTGAACTTTTGTGGGAAACCGAACCACAAATCGCATTTGAAAAACCCGTAACCCAATTGGAGAACTGAAGAATTTGGGCCGAACCGAACCGAATCGAACCTTGTTCGACCCAAACCATCCTAGAATTTTCTTTTTTCTTTTCTATTTGCTAGCCAGCCTCACTCTCCCTTCCATTTTTTTTTTTCTGCCTGCGCTTTCCCGATCTCGCGGCGACACCATCTCCGCACCTTCTTTTCCTTTTCTTTCTTCTTCTTCTTTCCTTTCTTCTTCTTTCTTCTTTTCCTTTTCTTTCCTCCTTTTCTTTCTTTCTTTCTTTCTTTCCCCTTTCTTCTTCCCTGCACCTGCATTCGCACCACTGTCCAGCAGCTCCAGCAGCTCCAGTCAAGCGCCACTGCCGTTCTCACTGCCGCTCGTCACCGGAGCAGCTCTATTGCTCGTTCCGCCTTGTCCTAGCTCACGCAGCGCCATAGATCGCGCAGTCAGGCCCTCTGTCAGGTCTGGCGCGCCCACAGCAGCAGCTCCAGCTGCAAGTCTCGCTGCCAGCTGCCTCTCTCCGCCTCTCTCAGCCACTGCCAGTCAAGTTCGATCACCGGCAGTCACTGCTTCTTTACCCGACTCGCGTAAGAAATTTCGATCTAGCATAATTAATTAACGTTAATAGTACAACTATATTTGGGGTATATTTAATTTAAAATACATTTTAGTTAATCGATTTAATTTTATTCATGATAGTTCATTAAAAGTTAGTTATTTTAGTTAGTTTCATTTTAAACAATTTTAGTTAATCTAGTTAATGGTTAGTCATATTAGTTATATTTAAATTAATTTTATTTATTTGTAGTTAATTAATTTAAGTAATGTTAGTTTAATGAATTTAATTTTTAATTAAATTGTAATTATGAGTTAGTAAGTTTAGTTAAGTTTAATGTTAGTAATGTTTAGGTTAATTAAATTAAAACTTTTACTGTTGTAATTAATTTATTTGGTAAATGTGGGAAGTTTTAATTAGCTTTGAAATTTTAGGTGTTGATTTAATTAAGATAGTTTAAACATAATGTTTATTGTGTGGGTGATGTTGAGTTTGATGGAGGAATGGGAAATTTGATTGATTGATTTGCCTGATTTGGATGGGCTGTGTGGTTTGGAAAATATTAGATATATTGTTGATATTTAACAGGTGGATAGTCAATTTTAGGGAAGGGAAGAAACATAAAATAAATTTTGATAGAAAATAAAATAAATTTTAATAGAAAATAAAATAAGAAATAAAATATAATTCAAACGAAAACAAATAAAATAGAGCTAGATAGAAAGATAAAATTTTAGTACAGAAAAGAAATTAGATATCGAGATTAAATTACGTAGAAAAATTTAGAATATAAAATAAAATTCTTAGAAGGGTAAGGAGATATTTTGTCTGATATAATTATTTCTTTTTGTGTCATTCTTACTTTGCTTAGATCGCCCAGGTCCATCTAGTGCTCCTCCAGGACAGAATCAAAGCTAGGACTTCGCTCTCCCTCACTGTGAGTAATAATAAATAATGCATATCAACATTGCATTTGCATAGTAATTATTTCCTAAATATATATTATGTCACTGTTACTATATAATTATATTTATGATTGTACATTTGGATGTATTTGGTGTATTACTTTGAAAGCATTGTTTGATTACTTGTGCTGTGCTATACGTTGCCTTGTTTGTGTGGAATTGGGATGAAGTAATACGTTTGAAATGCATTCGATTGCAATGTTTGATTAGTTGTGTTGTGATATTGCTGTGCTTTGCTTGTGTGGAATTGGGATGAAGTGGGTCACCATGGGTTTATGAGACTGTTTCTGTTATATGGATCCTGATTCTGATTTCCGTTATATTCTGATTCTGTTATATGGATCCTGATTCTGTTTCTGTTAGCCGGGTAAATGGGAGATCGGCGCCCCCGTGTGCACTTGATAATTCTGTTTATTCTGAAACCACAGGATGGCCGCTTGTTGTTGCGCACCTGAAAATCTAGATTTGATTGCAGCCCACAGGGTGGCCTCCTGTTGTTGTGAGCGCTTTTGATGATCTAGAATTGGTGGAGACGCACCGTGGGGGTTTGCCTCTGTTGGTATGAAAAAAAAAAAAAAAAAAAAAAGAGAGAATGTAAAAACAATGAGAGGGCTGGTCAAGTGGAGGATTAGACGCGGCCGGCAGTATGGGGGATCGGCTCCCTGGTGGCACATGTGAAGAGGAATGAGCCATGTGGGAGGAGCGACTCATCGGGGGTTTTTAGGTGACTTCATGACTAACTAATTTCCACGTGATGTGATTATTTGAAGGTGATATTGTTTGTGGGTGCTGATGTAATGTCATATGATTGACTGTTGTGTGTTCATTCAGTATATTATGGTGCATTTTGCTTGACTGTATGTGGTGTGTATTATTTATTATTATTCACTGAGTTGCAAAACTCACCCCTCCCCAACAAACCTTCCAGGTACTAGGAAGCAGCTGATTCGGCTGAAGCTCTGCAATCTTCTCTGCAGAGTTACAAATGTAAACTTTATATTCATGTTATTTAATTTTGGATGTATAAATTATTCTGTTATCAGATTATTTTTGGACTCCGCAGTTATAGATTGAAAACTCCGCAGTTATAGGGTCGTTGTTATTTCAATCGGGCTCCTGTCGTATGCGTATTGTGTAAACGACTTGTTATATATTAGAATGCGGTGGATTAAATATAAACCGATATTATGAATATTGATTAAATCATTGATTAGGCCAAACTAATCTTTAATTTAAGATTCTAAACTTTGGGCGGATTGTAGCAATATTTTATATTTTTATATCCTAGCTGTATGGGCCCTTACTGTTCTGTTAATGGTGTGGCATTGTTTAAAGTAGAGTAGTTTAGGCTTACTAACGGGCCTCGGGGGGCCCTTAAGCTTACCTGGGCCCTAGTGGCCGGTCCGGCTCCACGGAAACGCGGTCGTGACAAATTAGGCTTACTACGGGCCTCGGGGGCCTTAAGCTTACCTGGGCCCTAGTGCCGGTCCGGCCCACGGAAACGGGTCGTGACAAAATGTTATACACTTTATTTATAGAAAATCAAGGACAAATTATAATCATTTTGTTAGGAGGCATATTAAACTATATAATTGTCAATAATTATTCTTTTATAATTTAAGAGAAAATGAAAAAAAAAATATTTGAATGTGATAATTCTATTTCCAAATAACTAACATTAGAAATTTACATAAGCTAAAATAAAATATTAAACATTAAATTTTAATTATATATTTCAATGGTTTAGTTTTATATATCACTTTTCTTTTATAACAAACATGAATAGTCTCACAAGGCATATTAAATAGGAGTATATTAGAGAATTAAGAAATTAATTATACTTTAAAAATAAAAATGGCTTGTAATCTATGATAAATAAAAAAAGAAATATAAAAATAAAGAAATTAAGTTTATCTTTATAGTACAAAAAGGTAATATTTAGTAAAGGTAAAGATAAAATTACAAAAATATTAATTAATAATTCTTAATTTTCTTAAAATAATATGACTTTAAATAAATAAAATATAAAAATAAAAATAAAATAAATATTAAAAGAAAAAACTGAAAATACATAAGATTATGATTAATGATATTAATTCTAACTTTATCAATATTTAAATTAAAAGAAAATCAAGATAAACTCCATTCGGCTTTAATGCGATTTCTAATGATTCTTTACTATATATTTCCTTCATCTCATTTTATTTGTACGGTTTGATAGAACAGACATATTAAATAGTGAATAAAAATTATTTTGTCCTTCTTTACCCTTAATTCATTAAGATAATTAATTAAATTTCTTCGTTTCATGAACAATTATAAAAGTTATTATGGAAAAAATAATTATTTGTATATTTAAATTTAGAAACTTTAAGGAAATAACAAGTAAACAAAATGGGACAGAGGGAGTCCATTTTTCAATTTACCAAGAGATCCTAAGTTCAATTCTTAATGATATAACAGTTAATTTCCTACCCCTTATTGAGTTGTACTGCCCCTTATCTTCATGGACTTTCAAATTGTTCTAAATTTTATTATATATAATATCTAATGTCAAAAATATATATATTAATTGAGGCCTAGATTTCAAAAATGATTAGACACTCTTTCTTTCTGTCTTTCATTTGATATTATATATAATGAAATTTTTACGCTATGCCTATCAGCAACATTTACAGTACAACCCACTAAGGGTAACAATTGAAATTAATTACTGTACAATCCATTAAAAGGTAAAAATACCACTGGGACCTGTTCCAGAGCATCACCCTTACCACCAGTCTAGAGATCATTTATTATGACAATAAACATTTCAACAACTATCTACTTTCGTCTAGTAATAGTTACTTATTACTGCAGAACGTGAGCGAAAATTTTCGGTGATCATATTCCATTAAAGGAAAAAAATTGATAAGTTAAAAAGAAGTTATTTGGATGGATGGAATTTGAATCATCTAATATATATACTCTCTGGATTTGTCAGACTCCTTTGTTTAATCAGTCTATAAAATTCACAGACCCTATCATATGGCCTCAATTTCATTGTTTTGTTTTAGAAGTGAGAAATTCTTAGAGGTAGAGATTTTTTTTAATCTATAGTTTTCATTAATAATATCATTTAAATCATTCTATTTTTTTTAAAATATTAAATATATGGATTATACTTTTTCAATCCAATCGATTGAATGCAAAATTCCATCGATTGCGTAATTTATGGATTATAACCTTAATATATAAATTTACCTATATACTTTTCACGAAAAAATTTTATGATACTCTCGATTTTTATTTTGATGTATTGAACACTTTAACTTGTATTAAAAATTATAGTTTGATCAATTGAATACATCAACTTATAAAATTCTATCGATTAAGATTAAAGATTTATTAGATAGAAAAAAAAAAATGTAAAAAGTGTTATTAAAAAAGTTATACTAATCATATATCAAATAATATTTTATATATAAAAACTAAAAACCTTAAAAATTCAAATAATATTTTATATATAAAAATTAAAAACCTTAAAAATTGTTATTGCTATGAGATTATTATAACAAGTGAAATTCAAAAAATCAGAAATTTTTTTTCTCAAAATTCAGAAGTTAAATTATATACATGGTAATAGATTATACATTGCATAAATTTTATTCATTCCATGAATTCCACGTTCTACCCATCCAAATGATCTAGAAATTTTTGTATTTAAAAGACTTTGTTTTTTCTTAAAAAAAATTTGTTACTAAAAATAAATTGAAGAATGAGACAAAGCGAAAATATTCGTTCAAAATTCTAATAATAACATTTGAAACAAGAAACTATCATGCGTTATTTGACTATCATAAATTTATCATGCAAGTAAAGCTGAAAAAAATCATTTGCTTCTTTATATAATTTACTTGTGCTAAAAGGATGTTGACATTTGTCCTTCTCCATTCCATTGACTTAGCTCCTTACCTAGAAACATATAATTACCGTTTGTTTTGAAATTATTAAAAATCCTATATTTACTATATATAAAAAATTAATCAGCGTCTTTCTTAATAATATATTTTTATTGAATTAGCTTAATAATATATAAGTGAGCTTACACCTAGGAGTTAGCGTATTCATATTAAATCACAAAAGCAAGATATTTTAATAATATAATTGTCTTTCTAATATCCAGGGAATAACAAGAAAAGAAGCTGTACATTAAAAGGCATTTTCTTGACCGTTGGATCAGTAATTATCAAAACAACTAATCCCAGAAAAAAAAAAAAAAGGTTTAAGGACTGCTACAACACAATACGTACAAAGACAAAGCTTCCATTCCATGTATGGATTTCTACGGATGATATTTGTGGCACCGGATGACGAAATGCATGTGTCAGTGTGTTAATGCGTATAAATAATATGAATGTACCTTTCAAATCTGATCAATTGCAAATCAAACCAAACGAAATCAAACCACTAGAGATTATAGAAGCCAGACTCTCTTTTTCTCGGAGCCAAGCCATAGATCATGGTCAACCTGCAATAATAGTTTAAATAACCCAACTTAACCACTATAATATTTTGAGGATTTCATCCAAATTTCAACGGGAAATAGTAGCAATAGTGGTAAACGTTTGCTAGTAAGTGCTTCCGACTTTGGTCAACTTCTCCAAATCTGCCACTTCCACAACTCATAAAAAAAAAAAAAAAAAAAAAAAAAAAAAAGTTAAGTGCTTCCGGACTTGGTCTAAACTTCTTTCCAAAATCTGGCCACTGTCCACAACTCAGTAAAAAAAAAAAAAAAAAAAAAAAAAAAAAAAAAAAAAAGGCAAACTGTCATGCAAGTGAAATCAATGTCTAATATGTATTGACTGGTTGGCTCTGTCCCAGGTAGACCCGTATGGTTCCAAGCTGAACCAGATCCGCTGCCTTCCCACGGTTTTCTAGACCAAAATCCAAATTTTTTTTGTTTTTTTTTTTTTAGAACCATCAAATCCTTGGTTCCAATCTGCAGAGCCTGGTCCCGGTTCAATTCCCTGGAACAGAAACCAGAATAGTTCTTTTTTGGGTTCCATCCGGTCTGGTTTTGATTCCAAATTGAACCTCGGCCAGGCTTAGGCTCAAGCACTCAAAAAGAAATAATAGCAAGTACCTTCAGAATATTTATCATGGAAACAATGATAACTAAGTAATGATAACAAAGAAGAAGTCAACTCATAATGAAGAGAAAGCCAGATTCATAATCTTATCAACTCAAGCAAATATAATGACATTGGATTCCAAAGCACCTTTAACAAAAAAATTCTCACATTTTATTCAAGTTTCGCTATGATTATCAAACTAACATTACATAAAACTGCTTCAAACTTGTGTAAGCCACTAAAACATAAAAGAGTCACTTCCTTAATATTGAACACCATCGCATGCTCAATATGAGTAGGCAAACTCTAATCAATCTTCTCTTATCATATTTGCTGCTTGTGGCTTTTCTACACCATTTCCCCAACCACATCGAGGTTCGAGCTATTGAATCAGGCAAGCCACATCTCCTTCTTTCTTTTATATTATTGAATTGTCAAATATTTCTATAGATAAGTAAAATATAGCCCTCCACCTCAAAATATATGTTTCTGCATACTATAGCATGAGAAAATGTTAAGAACTGAACAGACTTTCCCTAGATTTTCATAAGTTCTAACAGAGTATCCTTTCTTCTGCTACCATAGCTAATTTCAAACTCAAGCCTGCACAACCAAGCTCAAGATCACGCAAGGCAAACATTTGGTCATCCTGGGTAAGGAACTCAATCTCTAAAGATTTATAATTCTAAGAATCTTAAATGGATAATTAATATCTATGCTTGCATATATTCAATGAAATAAATACAGATTGGAGGGAAGAAGGTTCACAAGTCTCCCTCTGGGCCAAACCCAGTAGGGAATCACAACCCACCAACTAAGCAATGAATAAATGGATGCACTTTAACATAGTGAGTAGACAGACATCCGCAGCACTCTATTAAAGTAGAAGGTCAAATGTATTCATTTAGGTTGGAAAAATCCTGATCCCTGAGGTTTTTATGCGTGTACAAAAATGAAACTCATTTGAAGATTTGCACATCTGAGACCAATATTCTGTCTTAGGAGATACATGGTTCTAACTATTTATCTTTGTTTTTGAACTAAGCTCTTTTTCCAGCATAAAAAATCCAATTGAAACAATAGCCAAGTCATAGCCTTTGACATTACTGCAGTTGGTTTTTTACATAATAATTTAAGCAAATAGGTGATTTTCACAAAATGTGGGAGAAGGCAAAGTGAAACACTTGAAACTAACTTCCTCTCTTGAGCATTTTCAGATGAATAAAGCACTCTTGATGTAGTTTCTCAGAACCAAACTAAGCATTTCGTATTTGTCACGCAATGAGAATAAAATATAAATTTATCAAGTATGAATATTGTTAGTGTAATTGGTAGTTAATTGTCAAACAGTACAAAACACAAGATTATAAGTGTCAACAAAAAAACCTCGGACCACTTTAAGTAAAACGATGAAGCCACAGCGTAGTTTTTTGTATTTCCCCGAATATAAATATAAAACATGTACAACAGAAAAATAAACTTTAGGGGATAAGTAAACAAATAGTACCTGCTAAACAAGAATTCCACCCCAGTCAGACTGTGATTGCAAACATCATTGAACACCTTAGCTACCTCTTTTATCCCTATTGTGCTAATAATGCATTCAAGTTTCAATGAAACCACTGCTGCCATGAACTATCAACAATGACATGACAGTAAGGCAACGCTACATATACCATGTGGAATCAAGAATTTATAATCAGGCACAATTTTCGTGATTTGCAATTGATCTATAAATGAATGAGCCAATATCAAAATGGCACTATATATCAACAGAAGCAAATTTTGTTGAGATATACAAGACTCACCAAAAACTACAATGATCAGACCAGTATACAGACTTTTTATACAGCACGCTTTCTTTTTGACCGCTTGCTTCTCTTTGGCCTAGAAGTGTCAGGAACCTGTTTGCTTGAACTAGAAGCATATGCTTGCTCTAGAACTCCTTCACCCTGTGAAAGAATTCACATTAATTCCAATCTAGAGAGTGAAATGCAATTTTTAAAAGTAATAAAAGTTGTACCTGTTCATCTAAGCCTACTAAGATAGGTCTATAAATCACTGTCTTGGATAAAAGCATGCAAGATCTATGTATATCTCACCAATCAAACATTTCTTTGAAATTTTGTAGCTTGCTCTTAATGTATGTTAATTCTTCAATCATTGATTATGAAGTCCCAACACTGTTGTTAGATTCTTAGACAACTTTCTAAATTTGATTTCTGCATAAAGACTATCACACTAATTTGCCCTGCCTTTATCTATGTCTCTTCACTCATTCCCATTAATCTTCTCCTGTTCTAGTGAAACCAGACAATAAGATGCCCCTTTTTACAATCTTATGGACGTTCATCATATGTATGCAAACAGTGGGCTTTACTTTCTAGCAGCAAAGAGTTACATATGGAGAGTGTTCCACAGCTGAATATGCTTGCCAAAGTTCTTACATGTGCATAAACAAACTAAGCTCAGTACCCTCTGGCTGTTTTGAATTGGAAACTAGAGTCCGTTACTCTCTACCTATGGAGAGTGGAATCCACTTTCCACTGCACAGTTGAAACAGCAAGGTGATACATCATGCTAAGGCTGAGTCCCACTCTGGGAATAACTGTCTTGTCCCATTATCTGTTTCTTGTATGGGTTACAAATTTAGAATCTTAGAACAGGACTGCTACAGTTATTTCTGGCACTATAGAAGTGCATTGTAGCAGAAATGTATGAACCTCCAAATCTATGGTCCCACAAGAACCTCCTTAGTAGAATAGACCAGCATGCAAAGCCTACACATGTAGCCAGTATCATTCTTTACAAGATCACATGATAAAAAGATGATTGCAATAATGGCATGAAGTTGATGAGTCGCCAGCAATGCATCAGTACAACAGTCATTGATACACAGTACAAATCCTTTTTTCTGTCACATTAACCACCACTGAGTTGCAAAATTGTGAACTCAGGGGCAATAATTAAGTTCATTTAGCAGTCCTGAACTAGCTAGAATTTAGGATTTACCTTGTCATTAGTCTCTTCATCTGAGTCCTCATCAGAAGCAGATGCAGAATCCAAAATCTGTACCTTGTCATCTGATAGTGCCTTGCTCAATTTTGTCCTCTTCTCTTCTTCCTTTAACCGCCTGAACCTGTCAACAAGAATCTTTGATTTTTAGACAATTCTAGGAAGGCTGAAAACAGGAATTAATTCTGTGAAGATAACGCTGACCTATCACCAGGTTGTGCTGGCTGTGAAGCTGATCTTTTTGCACGTCCTGCACTGATGATTCCACTTGCATTCTCATTAACCACAGGCTTTGCACCACCTAATTTGCGTAACCATACCTGTTGGGCTGTGCTGAGTACATTGTTTGTGAACCTAAAAGCACATGATAAATTTTATGATTTAATCAACAGAAAAACAGCACCAACAATGCACATTTTAAAGGTCACCATCCATAGCTTAACAGGGACTAAACTGTGTTTAAAATCAAGCATTTATTCTTCTGCTTAAATCTTAAAAAGTACAATGCAAGTTTCACTTCTTCAAGAAAATGCTGAGGTGTTAAATTAACTAGAAGAGGGGAAAACCTAAAAACCAAATGTTCAAAATCAGTTCAAAGATGCAAAATAATTTATGCAGGATTGACATGTAGATTGTAGACTAAATGAATAACATATAATAAAACTAACAATACACAGGCCAAAAAATGAAGATCGCAACACATGCCAATATGCCTAAGGTGTTCCCTGAACAGAAAGTATAAACATGGGCAATAGCATAACAAACATATAAATATCATATCGACTATTTTAAATAGTAAGTACAGCAATAAAATGTCAGAAAACACAAAAATAGCGCACACTCATAATTGATGGAACTTCCAGTGATTCCACGCCTTAAAATTAATTTAGAGAAAAAAGAAGGTCATGCATAACAGAAGTATTTCCAGAATATATGTCTGGTTAAAGGCTGCAAGTAAACTCTCAGAGAAATAGAAAGAAAGATACATTCAATAATGTCAGTGAAAATGAGTGATCAACTACATTCAATTGATGTCAGTGATAGGGCTGATGAGAAACTAACCAGTAAATAGATAATCCAGATGGAACAGACAAGGAAAAGTAACCAATCATGAGAGGAAGAAACTTGAAAACAAGAAGCGTGTTCTTTTGAGCTGGGTCATCCGTCTGTCCAAAAGAATACAATCAGGTCTTCACAATCACTCAAGTAAATAATGAAATGTAGAAGCAAAAGGGCAAGAAAGGTAAAAATTCTTTCCTACCTGGGGAGGTTTCATAATCTCCATTGATACATACTGAGATACAACAAGGAGGACAGGTAGAACCAGGTAAGCTGCAGTGTCATGCCAGCCCAATGGTGGATGGCCATCCTGTGTGATTGATATATGTTAGATTACTAAGTTTGATGCACAATCTTGCTAAAGTAATGACCATGCAGCACATGACTAACGGCAAACTACAGCCACAGCAGATCCATCTATTTTGCTATTTAGGGGATAATTATATATACTATCTATTATTAAATGCACTAATCAATCCAGACCCGGGAACACAATTGATGAGCAAACAAGCAAAATAACTTTCCAATCTTCTCAAACCATTTGCCTCACTCTTTTCAGCTGCCAATTTTAAATTCATTGACCAAAATGTACTTTCAAAGATCAAAAAGAAAACAAGAAAAATGGACCAGGTTTATCAAGAAAGAAACAGAGAAATATCTTTCTCCCTGAGTCTAAGGATGGTAGAAAATTCTCCAAAACACCTTCATGGAAATGAACGTGACAACATAAGAGATAAGCCGTGCATCCTACTAGCCATCAGAAGGGAAGTGCAACAGACTTACAGAGGTCCCAAGCAGCTGAAATCTTCACTAAAGCAATATCTGAGTACCAAGAAAAGGTAGCAAGTATGAAAAAAGCAACACTACACCTTGCTTGGCCTAGGAAGGGAAAGATAACATTCTCATAGAACCTCATCCTACTGAAATAGTCAATGGAACGATTATCTTGAGTGCCAAGAGAATCTGGCAAGCAAGCATGGTGATAACAAAGGCACCCATGGTTTTAAATTAGCTGTGAAGTAGCATATCTACAATCATAATGATTAATCTCCAGGACAGTGACACATTGACATGGCCTACATTGGAATTTTTCTAAACAAATTCAAGATAGCGTCAACCATGACTATTACACCTTGGTTATTACAGATTGACACATTCACATACGCCGTGTTCATTTCCATGTCTGTGATTGATACTGAATTTAAAACTTGAAAGCACCCGCCCCGGGGGGGGTGGGGGTTGAAAAAAATTAAGAATGAGAAGAGCATTAGCCATACCTAAGTGACCTTGGAGTTGATGTTTAGATGCTTTAAACATTTAAAATGCTAAAATAACTCCTTTTGAGTCATGAACAAAAAAAAAAAAAAAAAACTACAATTACTGCAATAATGCAACTACATATACACTATAAAGAAGATTCAAACAGTCACTTCTGTGGTCATGTCTTTACAACAAGATTGTGAACCAAAAATCATATAATGGAGCTTCACAGGTTATTTCCAAGACCACAGGTGTCAAGTTGTAAGTATACTCCAAAAATATCTTAGAGAAAATTGTATAAGCAAAACTATAAACCACCAAGTTAACTAAGGTAAATTTGAAGACAAGCAGTTTTGGAACAAAACCAAAAGTAAAGTCCTTATTGACTACACTCCAAAAGTATATCTCTCTAAGTTATGCAGATATCTGCTTCATTTAAAGCAATTAGTTACATAGACACACAATCACGTCAAAAGTTTATTATGATCTATGACAACATAAAATGTTTGACAAAGATAAAAGTCTAAGAAAGAAAATTTAGCTTCATGATCTGAGACACATAAAGTTTTATTACCACAAATGGAAAAAGCCATGAAATGCCAGATCCACTTTGTCGAGCTGCAATTGTAGTTGGCCCACCCAATGACGGAATCCAAAAAAACCCTTCTGTCAACAGTCCCTTCGAAAAAAAAAAAGTTTGAAATTATCAACAGCAGTGAATTTACCCATCATAAGCACTGAAAGCACACATACATATCCACTGTCATTCCATAAAATATGAGAAGTCAGTTCTTATTTACCTCATTCGCAACATTTGAAAGAGCTTGATATAGACCAATCCACACTGGTATTGTAGCCAAGGTCGGAAAACAACCTGTAATGAGATGTTATTAAGCATTACACCTTAAAGCACAGTACACAGATAGTAGATGTAACAAATTACAAATTGACAAAATGGAAATTTAGTAAGAACTGAAGACCGAAATGTAGACAAAAAAATACTGTAAACTCAGAACAGTGTGCATACCATATGGCATGAGATAACTTTATTATAAATAATAATTGAATAAATAGAGAAGGTAGTGGTGGCAAGTTCTTGAGAAAGGTATGTAGAAAAACAAATACTAAAATGCCAGAGTAAAAACATGAGAGGTTGAGGATGTCAATGTAATCTAACAAACAAATTGATAGAGAAAAAGGATAAATAAGTTTGTGTCTATTCATTTAACCACTGTTTCAACATCAAATGCCATGGTCATATTGTTGAAACTAATTTACAGAGAGTTAAAATCCAGTCAAACAAACTCTGGGTACCTAGTTCTTGACCGGCACAAAACAAAATTCCTATGATCAAAGATGAAAACTAATGCAATTTCCAACAACCAATTGCTTACCTGCTAAAGGATTAACCCCAGCTTGCCTATATAGACGTGATGTCTCGAGTTGTATTCTCTCCTATAAATTATATACACAGACCAAATTACTTGTGAGGAACTGAATTCTCAGAAAAGGAAGAGATACGTGCTAGAGCTCAACCTCAAAATTCAATATAACCAATACAACTGCAAATGTGCCGCACCTGATTGCCTGCATATCTTTGTTGAATGGCTTTTATCTTAGGTTGAAGGTTTTGCATTGCCAATGTAGATTCAACCTACACAGTTTTTCAAAAAAAAAAAAATAAAAAAAAAAAAACATTTCAGAAGAACTCAAGACCATATGCACAAACAATAAGCATTTCCTACTAAATTTGATAAATTAATAAAATAAAATAAAACTCACTTGTTGCTTGGTTAAAGGGAGTGTGGCAACTTTTACAATAACAGTGAGCAATATAATTGCAAAACCATAAGCATACGGAACATGAACAGCTGAAAGCCCATCCTTCAATACCTGAACAAATACCCGTAAAACAATATAGTTCAAATATAATTCGTCTACAATTCTATGTAGAGATAGAAAGGGAGAGGTAACTGAACTGAAGTGAAAATTACCTTGAGAACAAACTCCATGGATTCGGAGATAAAGCCGAACCACCCACCATTCTTTTGTACAGCTGTATCAGTTGAGCTGGAGGCAGCACCACCAGAGGCGGAATCCACCGCAACAGCAGCATCCGCGAGCGTATAGAGGAGGCTCTCAGCTCTACTAATAATCGAACTGAAATCAATTGAAGAATCTAAATGACTAATTGGAGGAATCTCGTGCAAGCTTAAATTTACTCTTGTGGATATGAATCTCCTATTAGGAAGTGTGTGGAACCCATGGCGAGCGACTGACGGGAGTGGTGCACCGATGAACGTCGGAGAAGAAATTAGGGTTTTCGCCATGGGAATTAGAAGCTACGTGAGGATTGAAAAGTAAGAGAGGTTAGAATTTCATGTGCGATAGAGGGAGTGGTGGAGATGAGAAGAGGCTTGCAAGTATAGTGTAAGAGAGTTTTTCTTTTTTTGTTTTTTCGAATTATCCCCTTTTCTTTTAATAAAGGGGCGAAATTAACCACCAAAAAGTCCAGAGCGCGCGTTTTCTGTGTTGTTTTATCAACCAATGGATAAGCTCCACGTTAATCGTTGGAGAATCATTTGAATTTTGATGATTTTAGTTGAATTTAAAACGTAATTAGTGTGATTGCCGGTAAAATTAGACAGAGACTAAATTTTATATATCGTTTCAAAAATATCTCCATTGCCTTCCAATTCCAATTTGTAATCCCTTCAAAGGTTAAAAGTCTCATTTTATCGTTTAAAGAGTTGTTGACTGCTTTAGAGGGTAAGATAAGATAATATAAAATTAAGTGATTAAATTATATTGGAAGATGATTTGAAGAGACATAAAGTTTTTTCGCTGTTATTTTAGGAGTTAAAATATCAAAATACCTCGCCTTCAACCCATTAAATTGAGGGTAGGAATATATATATATATTTTTTATGCAAAGGAGATAAATTTTAGTTTATTATATTATCGTGTTAAAACCTCCAGAATTGCATTATTTATGTTTCTTCTCAATGAGAGTTTTTATTTTAATATTCTTAGAAAATTTAGTTGATTAATGAGCCATTTAATATTTTATAATTAATATTTAAAAAAATATCTCTAACAACTTTACATCTAAAATAATAATTTTAGATATAGAGGTATCTTCAATGGAGAAAAAAGCCTCTGAAGTTCAGATTTTGTGTTGAGGAGACTCCTCCATGAGCAAATTTCACTAGTTTCAGAGAGAATAGAAAAGTTTCGATCTCTTCCCATAAGTTCCATCCATCTCTTTTCTTCTTCTGCATCAAGACCCTCAAAATTGGGTGATGGAACAACCTCAATCTCATCTCATGCACACATTGAGGACTAGAAAGGCCGCTATAATGCTTTCTTTGCGTTTTATGATAATTAATGATATCGTACAAATCCCTTTTCAACATTAAAAAGAAATGGGAGCTCTCCTTGGCGAGAATGCCCGTTCATATAACTAGGAAATTACATTTTACTCAATGTATTCTCTAGCCTTTCCTTAAATCCTCACATATACCTATTCTCCATATCATGTTGAATTAAGAACACGTCAAGCTCAAGATTTGAATTTATCAAACCTGAAAATCCATTACTATCTCGAATAATCTCGCACTTGGATTTCTCATTCAATACAGGCTTAAAATAATAAATGAAGAAAAGGCAAGCATTCCGTACACTGTCCAATCTCTTGGCACATTTACGATCAAAGTTTAGAAGATTTTGATAAGTATCAGACTCAGGCACTGACGCACATAGGGCTAAAGGGAGTCTTGGCCCCCAATATTAAAAAAATTCAGAATTTTTGTGTTAAAAATTGAAAAAAATTATTTTAGTTTGATCTCTAGTTAATTAAAATTATAGTTTGGTACCTCTAACTCTTTGGGTTAGATTTGCCCCTGATCAGACTCATTGCTTTGAGGTGCATGATGAACATCTAATATATCAAAAGTGTCTAAATTCCAAGATGGTGGAGGAGGACTACGCTCAGCAGAAAATGGAAGATTAATATCAGATGGCTTAGAAAGAGTTATTGACCTATTCATGTCTCTATCCAATTTTTCATGAGTTACTGAACTAGAATCCATGGATAAAAGTGTTGAAGGGTGGTGATTCTCAATAGAAAGACTTGTAAATAAATCTTCTCCTATCTTTTACACTAAAATCCTAAACAAGGTTCACCTAAGAAATCTATATAGGTGAAAAATGAAAGGGCAAAGGCAATATCAATTTTCGAGGAACTATAAATCTAAAGGATATTTAAAGGAAAATAGAAAGAAAAAAGGACACCTTGGTAATCAATCAATCAATCAATCAAAATCCATAAATAAACAAAGAGATCTCTTCTCAAAACAATTGTCTTCGTTTCTGTAGTCTCCAAAAATTACGTTAGAGAGAAGAGAGAAGAGAGACTGGAAAAAGAAGAAATGAAAACGGTCGCCGTTAAGAAGACGATCTGACTTGACATGAAGACTAGACCCCCATTGCAACCTTATTGGCCGTTACATGACAGTGACGGAAGGAAAAGATTGAGCCGAAATTACGTTTTTTATTAAAAATAAGTGGTGGGCTTTTGAGCCCAATTTAGGTCATGTTAGCCATATCTTTTGGTATGGGTACTTTAAGTGCTCAAGTTCTTATCGCAATGGGCTTGTCCCTAACCCAACAACTTGTATTTGCCATTTTCAGAGTGACCGTTTTTTGTAGGGGATGGGACAAGGCTTTCCTATTTTATTTGTCCCAAGAAATGTACTCTCAAACTCTAAAACGACAGCAAGAAAAACATATGATAATTAAGGAAAAAACTTAACTACACCCGTGTATGGGCTTATATATATGTCAAATCAATTATAATTGGTGTTTTTATTTTTAACTATATACAAAAAAAAATGATTAGATAGTAATATTTTTCTAAAAAACTTTTTTCGATTGGTTTGGTGTATCAGAGAATACATATATCAGGTGAGATGAGGAATTTAATAATTAAAAGACTTATCTACACCGAGTGTACATGTTAATTTATACACTAAATTAATTAGAAATTGTGTTTTGATTTAAATAAGGGTATTTTTTTTATCATACACTAATAATAATAATAATAATAATAATAATAATAATAATAATATCTTTCTAAAAAGCATATTGTTTAATGGTTTGATGTATGTGAGAATCCATGCAACGAATCCTAGGATCACAATTCCATTTTTGTCTAAATTTCGGAGTTGACTTATATTTTTCCACTGGACCACACTCTTGACCCCCAATCCAAAGCTATAAGGCATATCAAGTCAACTTGGGCCAGGAAAAAACTTCGAATTGGGAGGACAATCCTCCCGGTGAACTGATTTTCCTCAAATAAAAGCTTCCACGGTGTGTTGGCTAAAATGAGGAATTGCACGCTACAAATTCTTAACATAGATTATTTTGATTCATAAACACAATATATTGATGGTTCAAGATGCTAAAAGAGTTGAGGTAAACTAAAAACTAGACGAAGAGAGATTGTATGTAAAAATCTATTGTTTCTCAATATTTGTACAGACTTAAGTATGAATATTGATAGACCTTCAGAAGGGCTAAAGGCGCTATAGCGCCTCATTTTTTAAAATTTGCATTTAAATAGTACATAAAATTTTGTTATTTCCTGTTTAATTTTCCAAATGGTATTCCAAATAAGTTAGATTCCTTTTTTTAACGTAGGAGGCCTGGTCTTTATTCGGTAAATCTCGAGGTCTTTCAGATGTCAACCGAAGGGAGGCTTGTCCCCAAATATTTCACCTAAGGTTTGCCACTGAATATCAACAAACTACAACGGAGAAATACGATTCATCTAATCAACACCAACTAGCTTCAGACTAAGGCTTAATTGTAGCTACTGCTGCATTAACTGTCAAATTGGTATTAGAAGTTGTCACACAATAATTCACATCCTCTCTGTTCTTTTTTGTTCAATATATATTGGAAAATTTTCCCTATAATTAAGCATTTATGAACTCAACTACAAAAACACCAATTCAATAAATAAGAAGTCTCCAATAATTTCACAAAATACGAAACCAATATGACCAAAACAAGAAAAAGAAAAAGAAAGATATCGCCTATGACTTATTTTTTTTTTTTTTTTTTTTTTTTTAGGGAGTCTACTAGTTTTATATGATTTAATGAATAATAGATAATACTCATAAATTAATCGTACTCTTATATATTTCTTATATATTAAAGACTTGTTTAGTCCTTCGTTAACATCATTAATTTGTCATTAATAATTTATCTCATTAGACTTTTTTTTTTTTTATGCGGACTAGACTTTTGAATACTTCTTCCGTTCTATTCAATCTTTTTAAGGTTAATTTTATTACATTTAATCTGGGGCTTTTTAAAATTCTAAGAAGAGTTAATTTTTTTGTTACTATTTTGTCATTATTAATTAATTGCAGTATCAATTCTCACTAATTAATATTAAGGGTATTGAGGTAAATTCTTAATTAGGATTTTGTAGAATCAAGATGAAACAATCATTTCCTTGATTTGTTTAATGAGCTAAAAAGTTTCAAACTGACTTGAACCAAAAGAGTAATAAAAAAAATTATCTTTTGAAAAATAAAAATTACAAACTTTTTAAATTGTATGAAAACTTAATGTCATGCTTTCATTAGCCATAAAATCGAAATGCATAAACTGAATTAAGTTATCCAATTTCTGGGTAACTAATCTGACAATAATTTAATTAGCTTCTAAAGACCTATATGCCCAAACAAAATAAATTATAGAGAACATTCAATGAGCTCAGCAAGTAATAGGGTAAGCAATAGTCTAATTAATGTACAAGAATTAAAAGTTTTAAATTTTGAGAGGACTGATTGATCAAAACGGATAAAATTAAAGGGCTTAAATCGTGTTTATCCTTTCTTTTTCTAGCTAAGTTTTAATTGACCTTTAACCATTAGGATCCTAATTGTTTCTGTAGGGAAATGTCCCTTTATGGGGCCTATATCTCCATTAATTAGTTGAGTCCTTTTCAACCAAGAAAATGAAAATTAAGCTATCACATTTTAGGTTTGTGCAATTCAATTTGAACCTCTATATTCCTGTGAGTTATAATTGTCGTATTGTAATTGAAGAAAGCAGTGGTGAAGATGAAGTCTCCAATCTAATTTAAGGAGGCAAAGCTTTAAGCAATAAAATTATGGGGAGCAAGTAGATAAATTTGTTGGAGGAGCAAATCCTAAGTTTTGAACCTACAATATATATATATTTTTTTATTTTTTCGTTGCAAATACCTCCTTTCTCTTTTTTGGTGGAAAAGCTAATACTCCTTCCATCTTAAAAAAATGGTTCACTTTTTATTTTCACACAGATTAAGAAAATAACAATTATTATGGTTAAAAGAAAGTAGCAATTATTATGGTTAAAAGATAATTTTATTCATATAACTTTTCTATTGTACTCATCTTAAATAACAAGTGAGTAATTATTATATTGAAATAAAGTAATAAGTAAGAATTAATGAGATTATTGAAAATAAAATAAAATTTAACAAGGATATAATAGACAATTTAAGGATTAATCATAATACAAAAAAGGAAAGTGTTACTATATTTTGAGATAAATCAAAAAGAAAATATGGACTATCTTTTTGGGACAGAGGGAGTTAAAATTATTTTATTTTTAATGTTTGAAATCTAAGTTCCATACACATTATCTTGTAATTAGTGTCATAACCATTCCTATATCATGAAAATGCACATGATTTTTTTTTTATTTTTTAAAAGGAAATTGCAAATATTTTTTTTTATTTTTGAAAAGGAAAATGCACATAACTTTTGAAGCTTCATCCTATAAAAATAAAATTTTCTTTCATTTGTTCTAAGTTATTAGCCACTTCCTTTTCAAAAATACAATTTACTTTCTTAATTCTTTAAAATACCCCTGTCAAAAATACCTCGTTATCAACAATTTTTCCTTTCATTGCTTTATTAGAAGAGACATCTAATATTAATATATAAGGATAGGGTAAAACTAATTATTCAAATTATAATATTAACTAATTTTTCTTAATTTGTATAAAAATTGAAACAATCCTATTTTTATAAGAGGGAGTACTAAATTTGTTTCTTGGTGTCCTATGCAGGACATACTATCCATAAATGGATTGTTAGTGTAATATCATAAAATCACACACACACACACACATATATATATGCATACTATTACTTGTTGGCGGTCAAAAATTTTGTAAAATAATTAAGGATAATCACTATTCCTGAGATTCTAATTATACAGTGCAGTTCTAAAAAATTCACCAAGCTAATAAATTGAAAATTCACAGATGCATAAATAAATTAGATATCCAAAATAAAAACTAATAGTTATAAAAATAAATTATAAAGCATATGTGCCGGATCGAATGCTTCTCTGCTGTTCTCACATTAACATTTGAATAATCAAGTTAGATTTTTCAATCACAGCCTGATAAAAAGTCTCATTTCGGAATTACATAAAATCAAAAAAAGAGCTCAAAATCAATAAAATTATAAAGATCCTTTTACTGAAAAGAAATCAAAGAAGGGTAATTTCCCATCAGTATTTTCTTCAACACCATCAGGACTAATCTCCGAAAAGCTTGAAGAAGAAGAAGAAGCAGTAATCATAGCCTTTCCTTGTAAAACGCCTGTTGGTTGCAAAGGAAACAAAGGCAACGTTTCTTGATTGTTGACATAGTTATTGCCACTGATATTCTTGTTGTGGTATTCTTGAGTCATTACAGGTTCGTATCCTGCACAGCAAGCATAGGTTCTTGCTTTCTGATCAATCTTTTCAGTTCTTGGCTTCCTCTTGAAGCTGCCAGGGAGGAGCACTTTCGAATATGGTGGACAAAACCCTAAATCGATTTGTGGTAGATAATATGACCCACAAACGACTGAAAAAGAAAATAAAAATCAGAAACTAATTTCATTTTCAAGAAAACTGGTTTCTTGTATATATATGTGGAAGAGAAAATGAAATAAAATACTGTAAAGCAGAAAATTTCAATTTTATTAATGATCAATTTACGAGTGATAAGATCATAAGTTTAAACACAGATCAGAAAATAATTATTCCAAAAAAGAAAATATATTATTATAGTGAAATTAAGTTCATTTACAAAATTCCAAGAACAGGAAAACAAAAAACAAACTATAAAGCAATCATAAAAGTATTATCAGCTGGAGAACAAATCTATCTGAAAAGTGACAAATAGAATATGTATTTTATGTATAAATCTCTCTGGATAACAAACACTTAGAAAACAGTTCTAAAATTTTATAATATATATTATTCACACACATATCGAGTCCATTTGCATGAAGAGACAGCTACAAATAAAAATAAACTAATACAATACAAACACAAACAACGAAACCCAGAAGAAATTGAGAAAAAAATTCAGAGAATCAATTAAAAAATTAATATATGTAGAAAAATAACTAACCATTTGTGCAAGGAGAAGCAAACATGGGCTGATGAGGCTTATGAAGATAACGGTTGATATTATTATAACCCATAATTTCTTGTTTCTGTTTCTGTCTTTGTCTTGCTTTGTGGTTTTGAAACCAGTAAAAGACATTTTTGCCTTCTATATGACCAAAAGCTTTTAGTCTGGCTGTTATTTGCTGTATTTGATCAGCAGTTGGTGTTCTTATACCTTGCCTATATAAGCCTTCAAGTAAGCTTATTTGTTCCTTTGTTGGATTCCATCTCGAATTCACTTGAGCTCCACTACCAGAATTACCCATTTCTATATTTTCACTCTCCATTTCTGATCGTTCAAGTTCTTAAAAAAGAGAGAAAGGCAAAAGATCCAAAATGGGTTTTGATCTCTTGATTGAAAGAAATTAGGGTTTATAAAAGAAATGGAGAGACAAAGTGACTTTTTGCATGGGTTTTGGTATGGTCTTTTTATAGAGATAAGTAAAGCGTTGGGCTATGAAGAGTCAAACAAAAATATTAGAGAGAGAGAGAGAGAGAGAGAAGGCTTTGACATGCGTATTGTTTTTGGTGCTGAATATCTCTGAAAACATGGCGAGCAGCGGCTAAGGGAGGCTAGGTAAGCTATATGGTCTCTCTCGTCTTCTTCGTTCAAAAACGAGGAGATGCCGGAAAGTCAATAATGCCCCTCCCTTCTTTTAAAGTGTGTTTGGTCTAATTAATTGCGATTGGCTATTGCCAACTAGCTAAATACAATTAAATTTTAACAATTTTTAGTGTTCAAATTTATAATTTTACAAGGTTTTTCTAGATTTTACTAGTAATGTTGAGAAATTAAATTTACCAAATATCTCTATCTAATATTAAAATTTGAAAACACTAACGTCTAATTTTAATCCGTACCCACTTAATACGTCATTTTGAAAAAAAAAAAAATTCACTCCTCTCATGGGTTAGAGTGGAACAAATACATAGGATCGATTAATTTCATAAAATTTAATACTACCTTCGTTCTGTTAAATTTAACAGTTTTTTATCTTTTTTTTATTTAGATGTTTTTTCAGCAAATCAAAATACCATTGGTTATTTTATTTCAATTTTACCTTGTCTAGATATCTAAACTAAATTTTATTTCAATTAAAAGAACATTAATTAAAGGGCAATTCAATCAATTTTTTTTTATTTTTCTTCTAGAACGGAGGTGATTCAATTTTTTTTTTTAATTCTTGTAAAAGTTAAAATTTATCAAATTTAATGGAATAGATAGAGTATGAATATCGGTAGAATGAAAATCTATAGGGCATTAATATGCATGCAAAATGAATCATATGTAATACTGCTATTTTTCTAAATTATTTTGGAGTATTTTGGACTTAATCCATTAATTTGTTTATCAAAATTAAAATTTTCACTTAATATGATTGATTATAAATTAAGTGTCAGGGATTATAATTTAGTAATTTTGTGGAAGGAAAATACTATCTAGATGGGAAAAGAACAACAATGGGCATGGTTGGGTTTTAAATGGGCAGGGGAAGAGGATTTGTTTGTAGCCTAATAGTTGCATCTCGGGAATGACATAAGGGGAGTGAGAACGTTGGTTACGCCATTGAAGGAAAGGAAGGGTAAAGAAGTAAAAAGAGAACAAAACGACAGGCGGTTGGGTTGTAAGGGTTGTAGGTAAGGCCTAGGCTTTGGGAATTGAAGTGAGAGGGTGATGGTTTGAGTGAAGTTGAAACGTCTTGGTTTAGGTGTTAGTCTGTTTTTTTTGATGTTGTTTTTGTGCTCATAACTTGATATTATTTGATGGTAGTTTTTGGGTTAGTCAATTGACCAATCAAACCTTCCTCTTCTTTCTCATCAGAATATATATTGTTACAGAATCACCTTCAGATTTTCTTGCTTTCTAACTTTATAGATTTGCATGCACAAAAGCTTCTTTCATTTTTCTGCTTTTTCTTTTATTTTCAAGATGCTTATATTAGTACGTTTTTGTATCAGACGAACCCTTTATTGTACGTTTTTATGGTAGACCAACCCTTAATTTTATGTATTAAGGTCTTCTTCACCTTCACCTTCTCCCAAAAATAAAGTATTTGATAGATAGTTCTTGAATATATAAATATATCCAAATGTCACAGTGAGAGCTTCATAGCCTTTGACGCCATGTGATATCTAAACTGCGTTTATAATCTAGGCCAACTATGCTTCCTCTGAGTGTACTTGTATGATATCTGATTATATATAAATGCTCAACTTGCCATATACAAGGGATTTAGCACATTCAAGTCTGCGATCAAGGCTTTTGGGCATTTAGACAACGCATAACTGTTTATACCGAAAGTTTCACCTACGGAGAGATGCACATTATAGGGATTTGGCCCTATAGAGTGCATAGAGTTTCTTCCCTGCGAAAATATCATCTCCTCTACTTAGAGTATATGACGACCGCAACTTAGCTCACTTAAGGTTTGGTCCTGCATACTCGCTTCGAAAGTGGCAAAGAGCATTACATCAAGTCTCTCCCTCACATGTCCTTCGACTATATATCATCCAGCATACTATTCTCATTTCTCATGACTTTGTTATTGTCCTTAGGCTTATCGTAATATGGCTCCATGATTGTGGTGCTGAGTATAAGGATATGTCCTTAGACTTGCTCTAGGAAATTAATGATTTAATCTCAATTATGTGTACTTAACTCGAGAATATCATTAACTGAAATTGAAAAGAAAAAGACGGGAGAGGAAGAACAATTGCTTACACATCCTATGATTTGATAAAGATATATGTCCGTTTCCTAGCTATGTATCATCAATTGAAAGGTAAGCTATAATGCATATTGTCTCATCTCAATCATAAAACTCAGAAGAGAAAAAATGCTACTCATAGTTATTTCATTATCATATAGACCATACAATTAATAGCTCAACTATAGATCATTTCATGAATTAGATTGACCTATAGAGAGTAGGATCAAAATTATTGGGTACTAAATAAAAAGCTACACTCTCTTTATTTTCAATGCTTTAAATTAATGCGTGCATTCTATAGAAATGCACTAATGACATCTTAATTAATAATGGGATGGTTTTTAGTTACTTGTTGTTTTCATTTAACAAATTAATTAATTATGTTTTTGGGTTTGTAAATTATATTTAATGCTACTCTTCAAACCAAAAACTAGGAAACATGTCATTACACATTGGTCGGAGAAAATTTGACTTGCAATTACTAGTATCTTACTATTCACCTTAGACCAAAAACTTCCAAATTTAATAAAACGGGTGAGTAATTATTTATAATCTTATGCCACCAATTAAATGTAATTTGGTTAATCTTTTTCTGAACGTGTCAGAATGGGAGGTCTCACATAGGAGTCCTCTTCACCAATGTTACTAAATCTGGCCCAAACATAGACCTGGCTAAAAAATCAAGTAGATGATTCACTGGTTTAACCAGTGGGTCAATAGTTCAATTAGTTAGGCATAAAATATTAATAATATTTATTAATTTTGTTTCATAATACTTGTCGCATTTGAGAAAGTAGTTTATTCCAAAATACTTGTCACATTTGTGGTTTTAAAAAGTAATAAATCTTTTTTTTTTCATATTTAACCTTTGTATATGACCAATAATTATTATTTCAATTTAATGGGTTTCTTAGAGAATTAGTATTAAATTAAGGGTAATATAGTCAATTTATTCAATAATTTATTGTAATTTATACAAATTTAATAGTTTTCTGAAAGGACGTGAAATTCTAAATGTAACAAGTATTATGGAAGAGAGATGGTATTAATTAAACAATTATAATGTAATTAAAAGTATCAAAAAAATCGGATTGAGTTAATCGCGTCTCTGTGGATCTACCGGTTCAATCCGATTTTATTCATTAAATAGTGCAAAAGCAGGTTAGGTTTTGAAGCCGATTCATTGATTTTTCAGGTTGACCTGCCTGATCAATCCAGATTTAATAACTATGTTTTCAATTACAAGAGCTTTCTTGTTTTTTTTTGGATGATCTCACTTTCCCATTCCTTTTCTTTGTACTAAATTTGAAAATTTTTTTCCTGCTTTTTATTATTATTATTATTTTAAAACAGTTTTTCTTCCTTTGTTGTGGGTTTCAAATTCTCTTCTAATAATTTTATATTTGTGCTGATTTTGATATTTCAACTACTGAAGTGTTTGTACGCTTCTGTGAGCTCAATGGATAGATCTGTCAAGTAGCAATGTAATTACATTTTTATGCAACCTTAGAAACTCCATCTTTGAAATGATGGTCTCAAAAAGAAATTAATTTCCAAGTGGTAAGCCATTATTTATTTTCCATATGCTTTTTCAATTAAACATATAATATGCTTGGCCACCCTGAAATTAGTGTGCAAAAGGTGGAGAAAAAGTCATGCAACAATAAGCATTGCGGAGGGGGAGGACTTAAGGGCTCAAGAATTCTTTTTTGAAAAAAGAAAACAAAAAAAGAAAGGAAAGAAAAAAAAAAAAAAAAAAAAAAATTATCAATGCATATGCTGGACATTTTATTTTATTTTTACCTCATCAATTAATAAATTTCATTCTTTCAAGTGTCTTAGTGATTTATGGGACATAAATAATCATATGCCACTTAATTTTCCTTTAACTTGATTTTTTTTTAAGCTATAATTTGTTATATTTAGAATCAAATGAAATTAAGACATTCAGGTGCCGTTTGTTTTCGATTAAGTTTCTTGTTTTTTATTTTTTTTCTTTAAAAAATAAACAAAATCTGTTTGTTTAAATTTTTTTTCTTCGCTTTTGAGAAAACTGTTTTGAAAATAAAAAATAAATTTTATGAAATCACAAATAGTTGTTTATAAAATTGTATTTTCTGTTTTTAATTCTACATTTCTCTCCTTCTTTTTTTTATAAGATTTATCCTCATAAAATTATTGTTGTTGTTGTTGTTATTATTACTATTATTTTCTCTATCTATATAAAATTGTCATTTATTTTATCCAAAATATATAAACATATATTTTTATCTCTGTTCAAATTCTCAATTTTTTTTTATCTCTTTCTTCTATTTAGTATTATTTTATATATTTATTATTATTTTCTCTATCTATAGAAATATAATGTTATATTATTTTTATATATAATATTTAGGGATTATGTTTTTATTCAAATAATAATCAATAGTTTGTAACATTGAAATTTTAAAAATTAAATTGCTAAAAATATTTTTTAATTAATTTCATCTGAAAACTTTTGGATTTTTGGTAATTTATTATTAACTTAAAATTTGTAATGATTCTAATTAATTAGAAAGATTTTTGATAATTGGAAGAATTCTTCACATTGTTCAACAAAAAAAAAAAAAAAAAAAAAAAAAAAAAAAAAAAAAAAGAAAAGAAAATTAAGTTTTAGAAAAAAAAAAGAATCAAAAACTAAAAACCGTTTCATATTTCTAACAAATAAAAAACTCAAAACAAACAAATATAACAAACGTAGCCTTAAATTACAATTAAATTAAGTAACAATGAAA